CATCTTCCATCCATCCATCCATTCATCCGCTTACCCATAATTCACCTACCCATCCATCCATCTACCCATAACTCATCTTCCATCCATCCATCCATCCATCTACCCATAACTCATCTTCCATCCATCCATCCATCCATCCATCCATCTACCCATAACTCATCTTCTGTCCATCCATCCATCCGTCTATTCATCCATCCATCCATCCATCCATCTATTCATCCATTCATCCATCCACCCATAATTCATCTACCCATTCATCCTTCGATCCATCCATCTCTCCATCTCTCCATCCATCCATCCATCCATCTGTCCACTCACCATCCATCCATTTATCATCCATCCATCCAGCCAGCCAGCCACCATCTATCTATCCAACATAAATTTTCCCGAGTATATTTTCTGAGCCACTGCATGGTACCTTAATTTTCTGGGGCTTTTGTGCAGAACACCCTTGCAACTTTCTTCCTCCTGTCTGTGGCTGTCTCTGTCTCCCTCTTCCTTCCTTTCTTCCAGTTTCTCTGACTCTGCCCCCTCTACCTCCACTTCTCAGGCTTTGAGACATCTCTGCCTCTCTTTAGCCCCTGTCCCTCGCTATGTCTCTGGAATTGTCCCCGTGCCCCCTGCTCCTGGCTGCTCTCCCATCCCCCTGCCCTGGGCCCATGTGGACGCCTCTCCCTGCCTCCCTGGGCCCCACACTGTTATCCCCAGACCCCAGGCACTTAGAGTGAAAGCGTCACCCACTCTGCTGCCTTCCTTCCCCCGGTCCTTCCTTTTGATGAGACGCCATGGGGTGACATCTGGGCTTTGTGAAATGTCATAAATAAATTATTAATCACCCCTTGGGTGGCGGGCTGCCCCCTGCCGGCACAGGGCCGTGTTGTGGGGGAGGGCCAAGGTCTGAAAGGAGCTGTGGTATGGGCTCCTCTACGCCAGGACCCCGGCCCCACAGTGCCTCAGCCAGAGCACCCTGGCCCCCTAGTGTGCTGCCACCCTCGGGTCTGCCCGTGTTTCCGAGTTCCTCCTGGGTGCGGCGTCTGGCTTTTTTAGTTTCTGCCCAAGAGAAAGGCTCCAGTTTGAGGCCCATTTCACAGATGAAGTGACAGTGGTGGCTTGAAGCCCCATGTCACCCCCTGTCCCGATGACCCCTGGGTGACCTTGTTCCCTGCTTGGAGCTGGGCCGGGTGCTGGGATCAGGAGCCCACATGAGCTTGGGTGGGTGCTGAGCTGGGTCCCTGTCATGGGCAGATTGGCTGGCCACTGAGCTCTTGTTTCTGTCTTGGCTCAGCTCCCCAAATCCTTTGACCACCCAGGATCAGATGACCTTGCTGTTCCCTTCACAGTTGTATGCTCTTCTTTTTGCAAAACTCTGGCAGCTGTGTCCTGGCTCAGCTGAGGAGCCTTCTCAGGGAGGCATGGGCAGGAGCCCTGCAGGGCTGAACCCTGAGAGGGGGGCTGTGGACCAGTGCAGCCCCCTTCCACAGTCCCCAGGGTGCAGCTCCAGCACAGTACAGGGGCGCTGATGTCACCCTGGGTTGGGGGAGGGTCTGACGTCTGGAGGGCCCATACAGGGTCGCGGGAGCCAGGCAGGTTCGAGGTGGCACTCCCCCTGCCAGCTGTGGAACAGAGGTCAGGCCAGTGGCTGAGAACCTGTGAGCCTCAGTTTCCACATCTGCAGATGGGGTGGTAGTTTTTATACTGTTTGGTTTTGTTTGTCGTTCCTGGGGGTTGAACCCAGGGCCTTCACATGGAGCTACATCCCCAGCTTGTTTTTATTGTTTTATTTTATTTATTTAATTTTTGAGACAGGGCCTAAGTTGCTAGGGTTTGAACTGTGGACCCTCCTGCCTCAGCCTCCCAGAGTGCTGGGATGACAGGTGTATGCCACTGCCCTGCTGGGAGGGTGGTACTGTCTCCTGGGTTAGTGGGTGGTGTTGAGTGATGTGGCCCGTAGGTGTCAGCTCCGCCAGCACCACTGTTAGGTGGGAAAGGCCACGCAGCCCACCGCCTTGCAGCCTGGGGGTCCCGTGGGGCTGACCCTGCAGGACTCAGTCCTCACCCCGTCCCCACGCATCCCTTCCCTGTGCCTGAAGCAGCCTCCCCGTCCGCCCTCAGGCTGCTGGGCTGGGCAGGTGCAGAGATGGCCCAGCTCTACCTAAGTATAGCTGGCTGGGAGGGGCTAGAGCCGGGCGGCCAGAGGGCCGTGTTCCCAGAGCACTCCCGACCCCCTGCCCTGTCCCTGCGGGAGGGTTGGGGGAGCGGCAGGGCTCCCAGGCGTAGGCAGAGGCTCCGGGAGGGCTGAGGCGGGGCTGCCAGGATGGCTGTGCCCTGGCCTGGCTGTGCAGGCTCAGGGAAAAGTGTCAAGAGAGAGGAGCGGGCAGTGCCCCGTGCAGCCGGTGCGGGGCAGTGTCACAGGGTCCTATCTGAGGTGTCCCCAGGGCCACATGACCATGTGGGGACAGGAAGGGCCCAGTCCTCACCCTCAGGGGTCAGTTCTGGAACCTTCCTGGAGGGAGATTTTTCCAGGCAGATGCCACAGCTGCAAGGTCCTCTGGGAGTGGAGGAGGGGCTGCCATCACGGAGAGCCTGGGGCTGAGTTGCAGGCCCGTCTGGAGCGGGCAGGGCTGGCTGTGGATGCCCTCCTCCTGCCCTGGGCCACCTCAGGCCTCCCAGCTCGCCCGGTGAGCTCTGCCGGTCAGTTGGTCAGTCGGACTGCATGCTGGGCCGGCCTTCCTGCTGCAGACCCCCCTGCTGGCAGGGGCCGGGAGAGCCCAGAGGAAGAGGAGAGAGAGGCCCAGGCGATTGCGTCAGCCCGGAGCGCGTTACATAACGGTGTCGGCACTGCCGGGGGTGGGGTGGCTCTGCCCGGCCGGCGCTGTGGAGCCGGGGCAGTGGGCAGGTGAGGCCTGGCACACTGTTGGCCTGACTGCTGCTGCCGGCCTCCTCTGCTCCAGGATGACTCTGAGGGTCACCTACCCAGCTGGACAGGAAAATCCCAACGACCCCTGGCATCAGCCCAACTTGGGCCAGCCCCTACGCAGTCTCCCCCGAGCGCCGGAGCCCTGCCGAGCCCACGGTGTCCCTGCCTCTGATGCAGTCAGGACGCAGCCAAGGGTCCCTTCTCAAGATGAGCGGGATCCTGTGCACTCCCGTGCCCCTCAGGCCGGGCAGGACTTGCTCCCTGACAGGGCCCAAGACAGAGGCATGCCAGGCAGTGCTGCTGCCCCCCTTAGGGGAGGGCCCCCTGTGATCTGGGGCATGAGGGTGGGAGAGGCCTCTTCGGCTCCCGGAGCCCAGTGTCCTTTGGGAGTGGCGGATGTGTGGCTGGAGCCACAGCCATGGTCTGTGCCTGGGGACAGGGTTGGGTTCCAGGCGGCACATGCACCGTCATGGAGCACGGGCGGATGTTAGCTGTGTCCTGGCACGCACATGCGTGTCTGCACACGCGGGTGGCTGTTGTGTCTGCCGCCTGGAGTCTGTACCGTGCCACACCCACGCCCGGCCAGTAGGTTGAAGGAGCAGAACAGGAGGCCCCAGGACCCTTCACCCTCAGGGTCACTGGCTGGGTCCTCGAGGCAGCCTTCTGACTGGCGCTGCGCACCCTCTGTGTATCCCTCCGGGCAGCCCCCCATCCCTCCTCTGCTCCCCAAGCTCCCCTAGCCTCTTGCAGTACTCGGAGGGGCAGCAGAACAAGCTGGTGGTACCGAACCATCGACCTCGATGGGGGCGGCACTCTCGCCTTCCCTCTTGGGGGTGGACGCGGCTCTGGGTTATGTTTCTGGGCACCGTGTACCCAGGTCCCAGGAGGACCCTCTGCAGGCCATGCCTGTGCCCGGCATCCTGGGTGGGAGTCAGGCCCCACCCCCACGTCCCCGACACACAGGAGCCCCCTCCTCAAGTCGGAAGTGAGCAGGGCAGGCCCACCCGCTCCCCACTGGTGGGGAGGCGCAGAGCTCACAGCTGTTTCCCAAGCCCAGCGCCCAGCCCACCCTGCGCCCTGTTGGCCTTGGAAGTGCGGATGTGTGTGAGGGGGTTCGGCCTCCTGGGCAGCGTCTAGACGTCCCGCTTGAGTCAGATGTGGCGGCTCTCCGGGGTGTCGCCTCCTCTGCTGCCCGGCTGCGTGGGCTTGGCACCCTGTCCCTGTGCTTGTGGGTGGCGAGGCGTGTGTCTGTGCTCGCGCCGGTGTGGGGTGGGCGGCACTGGGGGCTCAGACTCCCCAGTAAGGGGTCTTGTCAGGGCGTCCCCGGGTGAGCCACTCCTCTAACCCCCGGGGACGTGGGTATCACTGGGGTTGGCTTCTGGGTCCCGCCTGGACCCTCCCCGTGGCCAGGCAGCGGTGCTGTGTGGCTCAGTCTCCTCCCCCGGAGCCAGGCAGCACCGGACTGTGGGGCTTGGCTTCCCGGTTGTCAGTTGTCGCATTTACAGAGGCGGGAAGGAAGGGCCGGGGAGGTGAGGCGACCCTATCCGGGCCGTGCTGCACCAGGAGGGTGCAGTGCCTGTGGCCCAGCCGGCTGGCTCTCTGTAACACCAGAGGCTGTGACTGAGCAAACTGTGGTAACTCCTCGCCCTCCGGCTCTTCCAGAGGAAGAAGATGGTGGCCTTGAAGGCTTCGATGACTTCTTCCCTGCCGAGCCCGTGAGCCTTCCCAAGAAGAAGAAAGCCAAGAAGCTGAAGGACAGCAAGTCCAAGGGGAAGCGGAAGAAGAAAGAGGTGAGGGAGCGGCCTGGGCCTGGGCCGGCCCGCAGAGACCCAGGAGGGCTGGGTCTGCAGGACTGGAGACCGGTTTACAGTCCAGCCTTGTGTGCGTGGTTTTCAGAGCACACCCTGCTTTCCCTCCTCCCTCCCTCTCTCCTCCCCCTTGCAGTAGGGGGGATTGATTGAACCCATGGCCCTATACTGCTAAGCCAGGGTCTCACTAAAGTTGCCCAGGCTGGCTTTGTGTCACCTTCCTGCCTCAGCCTCCTCTGAGCAGCTGTGGTTACCAACCCTGGCTCATCCTGTTGTTTTCCTTTCCCCGCTCCTGCTCATCCTGGGCTGGGCCGCTGTGACACCACCACACAGTCCCTTTGCTCACGGCCACGCGCTCATTGGCTGTGTGGACGGTGCCGTCTCTGTGCCCCTGGCTCTTGGCCCTGTCGTGGTGCCCCTCTGTGGCTGAGACCTCTGTCCGTGTAAGTTAAGCCTGGAGAAGCCAGTGAGTGCGGAGGCGGCCGGGCTGCCTGTGAGTGCTGCACGGAGCCCAGCGTCCCTTGTCCTTGTCTTTTCTTCCTGGGTCTTGGTGCTGCCCAGTGGGAGAGGCTGTGCCTCGGGCTTGTGCGCACGCGCTGCGTGTGACACTTCCCCAGGATAGACCCTGGGCACAGGTGGGGTGGGGCGGTGCTCGTGGGCCCAGGTGGGGACTGGGTGATTACAGTCCTCTCCGCCCGGACGGACCCAGACAGCCCTGCCTGTTCCCTAACCTTGAGGCTTTGGGGTGCCACCTCCAGTCCTCCAGGCAGCCCTGCAGGCTCAGGGATGACCTCGTCTGGGGTCACAGTGACTGTCTCCTGGCCTGCCTGTCCTCAGTGTTTCCTGGGTCATAGGCGCCTTGACCTTCTGGTGGAGGTCATCTTGTGACGTCTTGTTCTACGGCCACCGCTGCCTTCAGGCCCTCAGCCTGGAGGTGTCCCAGGCCTTGGGCAAGGGCTCCCTGAAGGACACCCCTGCCCAACACCTCAGTTTTCTCGTAAGCAGTTCCTGGGCCATGGGAGGGAGGCCAGGCCAAGAGGTGGCCCACCTGGCCTGTGGTTTCCCACGCAGCCCCTGCAGGGTGTACAGGTGGCTGTGGGACCCCACTTGCACAGGGCTGGCTTTTCCTCCACCCTCCTGGGTACAGCCTGGGCAGTGCGCCCGGCCAGGAAGCGGGCTGGAGTGGGCCGTGTCTGGTCAGAGGCCATGGTGGGAGGGTGCAGGCCCCTGCCTGTTTCATGACCATGAAGGATTCCTCCTTTTGCTTTTTTTTTTTTTTTTTTCCCTGTTTTTTTTCTGGCACCAGGAATTGAACTCATGACCTTGCGCTTGCTAGGCAGGCGCTGTGCCGCTGAGCTAAATCCCCAGCCCCAGGGGTTCCTCCTTTTCCCAACTGGCCTGGATCTTTCTTGGAGACATGTTTGTGTTTTTGCCTGTGTGCCATTTCTCTCGCTCTTGTCTGTCTTGTGTTTCTCACTGGGTCTCACACAGTCTCTCCCTCCGGCCTGTGCTTGGTCTCTGCCCTGTTAATCTCTCTGTCTCCTTCCCTCCCTGCACGTCCCCCCACCTCCCTCCCATCGCCTCCACCCTCCCTTCCTCCTGGCTCTCTGCCGAGATGCGCGCTGCCGCTTAAAAGGGGTGGAGCACAGGCTGGACAGGAGACCCCCAGGACAGGCCCCTGAGGTGACCCTTGGACCCGAGCTGCCCCGCCTTGAATCTCTGAAAGCCTGGCTCTGACGAGCTCTTGGATCTTAGGGGGTCCTGAGTGTGCTGCGTTCAGAGAGGAGGATCTTGGATTCCTCCCCTGCAGACCAGGGCTGCAAACCACAGGCAGGCGAGTTTCACCCTTTTGCCCCTGTCTGTCTCCAGCCAGGTGACCCCAAGATCAGGCACAGGGGGTCCGTGGCCGGCGAGTCCTGAGCAGCGGTTTGGGGGTGGCAGACAGCAAGTCGAGGATCCTGATTTACATAAAATAACTGGGCTGCAGCCGGAACCTGAGCATATGTAGATGAAGCTTCTTGTCAGACCCGAGCGCAGGAGGGAGAAATGATTTCAACCTGTACTGCAGCGGTTACCATGGCAACCAATTATTCAGTGCTAAATTATAACTGTTTATAACACTCGTGAATGGGAAGGCTCATATTTCATTCTTTCTTGTTTCTCCCCTCTCAGTCTTGAAGGACCCCAAATTGAGGATGACCAGCTCACCCAGCCCTCCCTTTGCGTTTAAATGTCTCCTTTCTCGGCAGATGTGCTGCGCGTGCCAGGCGCGGAGGGGGTGGGGAGAGGGAGACGGGAAGCCTCGATCTAGAAACATCTGCGGAGCCGGAGCCCGGAAGGAGGAAGGGTGGGGGGCGCTGCCCGCCGGGGCCCCCAGAGCTGTGGCTGGCATGCTGGGACCTGGGTGGGGGGAACAGGGCTCAGAGTGCAGGCTCTTCCTCCCTGCCCCCCAGTCTGGATTTAGGGTCCAGGTCGCTTTGCCAGGGATTCCAGAACCTCTAGATTCTTCTTCCAGCTGCTGGCACATCCCCCAGGTCACGCCCAGGCCTGCAGCAGTCAAAGGACAATGACAAGGTCAAAGGCCCCACCGTCATCGGATTGTCACGGCGTGTGGTTGGATAGTTCTTAGACCTCGGGCCTGAGATTGGTTTATTAGGGAATTACTGGTCTGTGCCCAGGCCCGCTTCTCTGTAAGGGGTGTGGCCTGTCTGATCCTTTCCTCCTCCTTTCTTTTTTTCTTTTACTTTTGGCACTGGGCATTGAAGCTGAGGGCACTCCAGCACTGGGCTACGTCCCCAACCTTTTTATTTTGAGGCAGCATCTCACCAAGTTGCCCAGGCTGGCCTCAGATTTTGACCCTCCTGCCTCAGTCCTTGGAGTAGCTGGATTACAGGTGGGTGCAGCTGTGCTTGGCCTTCTTCCCCTTGGCACGGATGACACTCTGTCCTCCAGGTCAGATGGGTCACCACAAGTCCTCAGAACCATGTGTCGCTTTTCTTCTTACCCCTCACTCTGCAGGGTGAGATTCGGGGAAGATGAAGGAAGCCCAGCTGTACGAGCCTCCAAAGTGCTGACTTCTGGGTAGCAGCCTTGTTCTGCACCCCACCCCCGCTGGCCCCGGTGTAGGAAGAAGGGCTTGGGTGAGGTCGGGGGAGGCGGTGGTGGCCCAGACCACTGTGCGGGCTTCATTTGGTGGAATCGGGACAGAGCGGCTCAGTGAGGGACAGGGTCCGGGGTCTGAGGGACCAGAGCCTTCTCTTCAAATGGTTCTTTCTTCTCTGTGCAGAGAGAGGCTGAAGTCTTGCTAGGCGAGGTGGCACAAACATGTAATCCAGCACTGGGGAGGCTGAGGCAGGAGGAATGCAGGGAGTCTGAGACCAGTCTGGGCTACATAGTGAGTCCCTATCTCAGAACAAAAAAACAACAAAAAAGGGAGGCTGAGGTCTTGTTGGAGCCCCAGGCGGGTGGCTCCAGGTGGGCAACTGAGGTGGTACAGTCCTGTTCTTTTCTCTCCCCTCCTGATCTACTGTTGTCCGGCTCAGCTCTCTGGTGGATGTGGCGCCTTCCTCCCTGCCTCCCTCTGGGCCCTGCTGGCCACTCCTCACCTGTCCTGTACCCTGGGTTAGGATGGCAGTGGCCACCTCCCATCAGATGGGTCCCTGGGCCACCACTCCTGCTGTCGCCTGGGCTGTGTGCCCAGTCGTAGGTATTCCTTTGCCGGTGGCTCCAGCCCAGCCCCCATGGGTGGAAATGAGGGCGACGGGGCTGGGCTGGTGGGTTTCCTCCAGGCAGTCCCCCTGGTAGAGTTGAGGGTGTCGTGGGTCTCAGGGAAGAAAGTGCATCTGGTGCCTGGGTGTGGCCTGCTGCTGTCAGATTGCTCTGGCCCAGCCAAGTTCGTCCTCCAGGAAACCTAGGTGAGCCTTGGTCCTAGAGACCTGGCCCTTCCATGCTGCTCCTGTCTGAGCACGGCTTCTCTGTGCCCGGCTGCCTCCCATGGCAGAAGTGGCGAAGGTGTTTTTCTTATGTGACATCTTGGGGACATCCTCGTTGCAAAGATGGGGAAGCTGAGGCTTAGGTTGCCATGGTCATCTGCTTAAGTCCCAGGCTAGCAAGGGTCAGGCTCCCCTGGCAGCCCTGGGTTCCCTGGCCTCATCCCTGTCTGGTCTGTGGTCCGCCCTTAGGCAGCTGAGGTTCCTCCTGGGGGCCACGGTGGCCGGCCCGTGGCCTCTGTCCGTGGTGCTGAAGCAGGCCGGCCTCTCCCTCCCATCTTATCTTTGCTGGGGTGAGGGAGGGTGGCTGGAGGGTGCCTCTCGGTGGTCTCTCATGGCTGCCTGGACTCTGGCACCCTCAGAGGAAGTGGGTGTCCCTGTCTGACCCTCGCCTTCCCCAAGCCCTGGGAGCAGAGTTCTGCCCTAGCCAGGCTAGGCAGTAGCCAGGACTGGGAGCCGCCGCTGGGGCACCCTGTGGCTGAGTCAGTATTCCGGGAAACACGCGGGTTCCAGAAAAGCCAGGAGGCCCTGCTCCTGCCAGCCGCTAGTGCCTCTGACTTGGCGATTAATGGATGGAGGTTTATGAGCTGCGAGGCCCGAGGAGACGGGAGAGCCAGGTGATTTGGCCTGCATGTGGGTGGGGTCCTTCTCAGCTGATCTCAGGGACCTGTATCCGTCCACTAGCTCCTGGGACAGGCCTGTTCAGAGCCTCCCTTGGCTCTTGAGTGTGACTGGAAGGGCAGAGATCGTCCTTCTCCGGCAGACCTGCTGCCCCTCCTTCTCCCTTCTTGTCCCTGCCCCTCCTGTCTTCCCTCTCCATGCCTCCCTCTCCCCCACTGCTGTTTCCTGAGCTCATTTTCCATCTCTCCATCTCTTCCCATGCTTCTCTTTGCTCACCTTGAAAACAGTTCACGGCAATCACGGAGCAGCCAGCCCCAGTCGAGCAAGCAGGCAATTGCAGCAGCAGTGCCAGCCCCTCCCCAGGCCCAGGCCGCAGGAGCCCAGAAGTGTTCTGCTGTCGTCCACTTGTCTAGAAAGGCAGGGAGTAAACTGCTTTCCGAGAGGGGCAGACCCTTTCTGGTGGGGGCGCCTTGGCTGTAAATGCCTTTATCTCCATATAAATGGGCTATTTTCTGCTTGCACAGACAGGAACCGAAATAAAAGAAACCAAGCTTAAGAGCCGCCTAAATTACCTTGTCTCCTATTGAAGCAGCCAGCCTGGGGGTGTCAGGAAGGTGGGCCCGTGCCCAGGAGCCTCTTGGAGAGCTGGCCAGTGGAGAGGACTGGGGTGGGTGGCGCCTGGCATTAATTACTGGCTTCTCTTGATCTGCACAGTTGCACAGGATATAAGCAAGCAGAGTGCTCCGGGGCCACAGCTGGGTGGGTGCAAGTCCGTGGATCGACTCCTGCTGCCCCGGGGCTTTTTTTGAGCACTTTGGATTTTGACGCTGGGCGTCACATCCTGTACCCTGAGTTCCTGAGTCACAGCTCCGTCTTGCAGCCTGGCTGTGACGGACGCTTGCCCTGAGCCGCTTGCTTGGGGAATGCGTCTGGGTCCCTGAGAGGTCTGGTGTCGCTGGCGTGCTCTGTCATTCACTGGGGGAACAGACATTCTCAGGCTCGGAGTGGTCCCTCCGGCTGGGCTTTGGGGCTGAGCTGTGAGCTGTGGACACTGGCGGCAGGGGGACTGGTCACCGGTGTGGGCGGACCCCCTCGTCCAGGTCACTGCCGCCCACCACCCTGGATTCTCCTGCAGCCTCTCGTCAGCCGCAGTGTCCTTCTCTCTCCTAGGGGAGCAACGATGAGCTGTCGGACAATGACGAGGACCTGGAGGAGAAGTCAGACAGTGAGGGGAGCGACTACTCCCCGAACAAGAAGAAGAAGAAGAAACTCAAGGACAAGAAGGAGAAAAAAGCCAAGCGGAAAAAGAAGGACGAGGATGAGGATGACAATGACGATGGGTGCTTGAAGGTAACGGCCGGGGCTGAGCTCTCCCCGAACCACAGCCCAGTCCTCTCCCTCCTACTGGGAGCTGCAGCGTCTTCCCTCACGTGGGGAGTGTGTGTGTGCGTGCGCGTGTGTGTGCGCATGTGTGTCATGCATACGGATGTTGACACATAAGTCGCTCGGTCAGAGGTCTCAGGGAGGTATTTGAAAGGATGAAGGTGAAACTTAGTTGATGGAGGGAATCTCTCAGCGTCCTGCTGCACGCTGGCTGCTCTTGAGCGGGCTGGGCTGCACGGGGTGCAGGGAGAGCAACAGCGTGGGTTGCTTGGATGGCTTTGGGAAAACAAGTGGAGGCTCTGCGTGGAGCCGGGAGGGCCCGCTGCAGTTCTGCCTGACGGGATTCCCGAAGTCCTGCTGAAGCTGGAGCAGGCCAGCTGCAGATGTGGCCTCGGCTGTCCCCTGGGGGGTGGGCATCCTCCCTGTGCACGAGGGAAAGGAGCCAAGGCTGCAGGGTTACCCTGAGAGAGACCACACATGGGGACTCTGGGCCTCGGGTCTGGGGTGGTGAGCACAGGACCCTGAGTGGTAGGAGTGCTCTGCCCCCAGAACACCACCGTGTACAGCTAATTTCCTGGAATATTAGCCCAGGGGCTGCTGGGTGAGGCCTCAATGGGAGCAGAAATCACAGGGCGCGTCTTGCTGGGGGTCCTGACACCCACCGTGATCTTGTGTGTTTGCGGGGTGTTGGGGTCATCTGCGATGGTGATGCGGGTGTCAGTGTGTGCCCTGTGACAGTGTCACCCCCGCTTGGAGGGGGTGACAGGAATGGTACGAGCACCGTGGTGCATCTGGGAACAGCTCCAGGGTGTTGAGAGCCAGGTCCCGAGCCCTCCTGCTGGGGAGGCAGGTGGCCTGGGAGAGAGACCGTATCCCACCTGGGACGCTTCCACTGTGGCCGCTGAAAGCCTAGCTCCCAGTCCTGGGCAGCGAAGGGGTTTGTGCGTCAAGGGCCCGAGAACTGAGACTCTGGGGCTTCTGGGCTGTGGGGCCCAGGGGTGTGGGCCCAGGGGTGATCTGAGGGTTTTGTTTTTCAGCCCTGGGGATTGAGGCCAGGACCTTCACGTGGAGCTACATCTCCAGCCCCTTTTATTTTGAGACAAGGACTTACTAAATTGCTAAGTTGCCCAACCTGGGCTTGAACTTTCCGTTCTCCCGCCTCAACCTCCCAGAGTGCATGACGGCACCCGGCTCAGGGATGGTTTTTCTTTCTCTGCCTTTGTGGTTCTCTTTCGGCTTGGGCACAATGTGGCAGTGAATGGGTGCAGAGCAGCTGGGGGGCTTCTGAGCCCCATCCAGCAGGAGGGTGTCCAAGCAGGTGACCCGGCGTTCATGGTTAGACTGGCTGTCTCGTGACCAGCCTGACCAGGGTCCCCCCGACCCTGCCCGGGCAGTGTGTGTGGCCTGGCCGGGGCCGCTGACCCTGCCTAGAGGAAGCGGGCTGTGGGGAGGGAGGCCGCTGTGTGGAGCTGTCACAGTTCCTCACGCAGTTCCGCATCCCTGTGCCAAGCACCTGCACTAGCTTGTCCTCACCTACGATGCTTGTGCGGCTTGGTGCCCATCTTAGCGATGGGGAAACTGAGGCCGAGGGGCAGTAATTCGGGTGTGGCAGAGCCCGGTGGCCCAAGCCCATAGCCTGTGTCTCCCTGTCCGATCCTAGCTCACCTGGGGCTGTGTGCCCGCCTGACCCCTAGGCCCACTGGGTGTCCCTGGAATGCTCTGGCCTCAGTACCCCATCTGGAAAGTGATGCAGTGGCTGAGAGATATCTCAGCTCTGTTCCTGGCCAGGCCACCGTCCCACGCCCTTCCCTGGCCCACGTGTACCTTCTTGGCCCCAGAATCTAGTGGTGTCCTTTTGGGGGCCTTGACGATTGCTGCGGGGGTCTCTGGGGAGGTCTTATTTCTCCTCTGTAGCCAGCTTACTCTCCCCAGACACCCCAAACAGCCAGCTTCTTCTCCCGGCACACCCTTCCTCCCCACACTCAAGTTTCTCCTCGTGGAGGGAGCCCTGTTCCTTGTGCCTGGGGTGCAGCTCTGTCGCTGGAAAAGCCCGGGCTGGGCTCTGGCCTCATCTCCCACCGTTTCCTGGCTTTCCCTCTCTGCAGCCCTGGGTACCTGTGACCACTCCAAGCCCATGAGCTGGCATCGGGGATGCCCCACTGCTCTGACCCTGGGGAGCAGGGTGCTGTAGGGGCCCAGGAGACTGAGTAATGTTAAGTTGCACTCCTGTGTCACTCCAGGGCACCCCAGGCACAGGCTCTTCGGGGAGGTGTGCAGGCCAGAGGTGCCCCCTCCTCTGATTGTGCCTCTGGCCCTGTCTTCCCAGGAGCCCAAGTCCTCAGGGCAGCTCATGGCTGAGTGGGGCCTGGACGATGTGGACTATCTGTTCTCGGAGGAGGACTACCACACCCTGACCAACTACAAGGCCTTCAGCCAGTTCCTCCGGTGGGTGCTGGCCGGGGCGGGGGGACCGAGAGATGGAGTCCCACCTCCCGGGGTGGGAGGGGGTAGTCAGGCCAGTTTCTGACCTGCCTGGGGTCAGTGGCCCCAGGTCTTGTGCCTGTCCCCATGGGGCGGCTTGCTGCAGGCCTCTCTGGCCCTGAATCTGCAAACCTCTTAGAAAATCACCACCCACAGGGAGGGACTCAGGGGCATTTGGGGTGCACACTGGTCTCAGCTTTCTCTAACCAGGGACCTGGGGCTGGTGCCCCACACTGCAAGGACGGGGAAGGGGTGGGCACTGCCCTCACCACCATCTCTCCCCGCACAGGCCGCTCATTGCCAAGAAGAACCCGAAGATCCCCATGTCCAAAATGATGACCGTCTTGGGGGCCAAGTGGCGGGAGTTCAGCGCCAACAACCCCTTCAAGGGCAGTTCCGCGGTGGCGGCGGCAGCGGCCGTAGCTGCAGCTGTAGAGACAGTCGCCATTGCCCCTCCGCTGGCCATCAGCCCCCAGCAGGTGCCCCAGCCTGTGCCCATCCGCAAGGCCAAGACCAAAGAGGGCAAGGGTAAGACTGTGGGTGGGCGGGCACTGAACTCACCTGGGAACAGGTACAGAGAGGACCCCGGCCTGTGCGGCCTTTCCCAGCAGTGCTGTGGCATTGGCATTGTTTCCTGCTCTGCCTGCTTTTGAGGGCAGGTGCAATAACAGAGATCATGTAGCCAGGTGTGGTGGCACACGCCTGTAATCCCAGTACTTGGGTGGCTGAGGCAGGAGGATTGCAGAGAGTTGGAGGCTGGCTTGGGCTGCATAATAAGTTTATGGCCAGCCTGAACTGTCTAGCGAGACCTTGTCCCAAACACAAATAATGATGTGGGCAGAGCTCTGGGAAGTGTGTACCTGGCAACCCAGCAGGCCGGCTATACTTGGCCTAGGGGGTGGCGGAGGCAGGGAGGCTTGCAGGGGTAGCTGCCCAGCCCTGGACTTTAAGTTGGAGGCAGCCCCAGGGAGCCTGTTGACCCCTTTTTCCGGCTCACTGTGTGTGCTGGGTCCTTCTCTAGGACCAAGGGGCAGGCCGAGGATCGAGTCCTTGGCCTTTAGCTCTGGAACCCCGTGCATAATGGAGTTTGGAGCAGGGGGTGGGCAGGGTGGGGTCACTTTCCAGGGAGGTTCGGAAGGATGTCCGTATGTACTGTGATGGGTGCTGGGGCGCATGTGCATGGGGGAGGAGCCTGGGGTGAGGTTTGGGGACATCCGTCTCCCCAGGCCTATTTCTGGTGGTGTCACCAGGAGGAGCTCAGCCTTCTGGGTGCTGATCTGGGTTTTGATGATGGGTTGAGGGAGTCTTTGGCGCCTGTGTTTCAGCCCCAGAAGCTTTGGTTTCTGGGATGATCCAGCATGCTGTCTCTGGGGCAGGTCTTAGGGGCCTGGCAGGTGAGTGACGTGGACCAGAGCCCCACACCTTTGTGCTCCAGCCTGGTTACCGGGACTCAGGAAGGGCCCTGGCCCACCGCCCGCCTGTTCAGTTCCCTCACTTTCTCATTTCCTCTTGGGCTCTGGCTGCTCAGCCATCGATTCCCCTGAGCTGCCTATTCCGAGCTTAAAAAATTGAAATAGATTTTCTGTGGCACCATTGAGGGCACAGCTGGACTCCCAGCCCCATGTCCCTGTGTGGCTGGAGGGAGGCCTGGGGCAAGGCCACCTGTGCATGGTGTGAATCCCGAGCCCAGGCTTTCCCTCCCCTGCTCATCCCGGCAGCGCACGACAGCCTGCTGGGAGGGGTGGCCGTTCCTCTCTGAGCGGCTGATTGCCCTGTGGCCAGCTCCACACGACCTGCCAGCCTTCTCTGGGTGCCTGGCAGTCCAGGGTGGCTGTGGGTGGTGCCCACAGGTGGTCCCCAGACAGCCTGGGTCTGGGGAGGCTAGATGGCCTTCCAGAGCCCAGACATAGACCACAGGTGGGCATTGTGCCCTTGGTGGACCTGCTGGTGTGGAGATGGGGCTTGGGGACAGAAGAGGGCTGTCCCTGAGATGGCCGGCATGGCTGGTGTGCACGGCAGAGGGGCAGCACGGTGGCCAGGGCAGGCAGACTCGGGGCAGCTTGGTCTCTGGCTTTCCCCAAGGACTTCGCCTCTCCGGCCCCTGTCACGTCTGGAAGGGGCTGATGGTGGGAACGACCTGCTCCTTATTAGGGTACTGCAGGGGCTCGGGGAAGGGGTGGTGCCGTGGCACCCATCGGCTCTGACCCTTGCCGCGCAGGGCCTGGAGTGAGGAAGAAGATCAAAGGCTCCAAAGACGGGAAGAAGAAGGGGAAGGGGAAGAAGGTGGCCGGGCTCAAGTTCCGCTTCGGGGGGATCAGCAACAAGAGGAAGAAGGGCTCCTCGGTGAGAGGGTGTGGTCGTGCGTGTGCACGCGTGTGTGCAGATCACTGCAGGAAGCTCATTCTCCTGAGCCCGCAGGGGCAGGTCATTCCCATGCTACCTGTAGCCTGCTGGGCCTCTTCCCCCAGGGGTCTGGCTAGTGTGGTAGACGTCATCCTTCCAAGGGACCCTCTGGCCTGGACTCCGGGCGGGTCTCTGTCCAGCCCTTGGCTGTGGCTCCATCTAGCGGAAGGTGGGACTCGGTGGGCCGTTTGTGGTCCTCATCGGGCCTGGCTGCCCAGTTCTGTTTATGTGCAAGGCCCCGTGCTGAACTGTGGTGGGCCCTGCTCCTAAGTTGCACTTGGTCTGCAAGGCATGGCCGCTGGGAGGGAGCCAGCGACGTCCCGCGGGTGCAGTCAGGGAGAGCTCTGGGGTGACTCCTTGGTGGAGGGACCCTGAGCTCTGCTTCCTGAAGGGTGTGTAGGAGTTCAGCAGGAGGCAGGGCAGGGCAGTAGTATGGGCTGGACACCTGGAAGCATCTGGACAGCAGCACGTGGAGAGAGGGTGGGGCGTCAGGCTGGCCTGGGCTGTGGCAGGAAGTCTCTAGCTGGGCCAGGGGACAAGTGGAGCCCCAGGGTGCGCTGTCCTCAGAGTCTCCTGTAGGCCTGCCCCACCGCACACCACCCAGGCCGCCATCCCCGGGGTGAGACTCAGCGCCGGCTTGGCTCACGGGCTCCTCCCCTTCCCCGCAGAGTGAGGAGGACGAGCGGGAGGAGTCGGATTTGGACAGCGCCAGCATCCACAGCTGCTCTGTGCGCTCCGAGTGCTCCTCAGCCCTGGGCAAGAAGAGCAAGAGGAGGCGCAAGAAGAAGAGGAGTAGGGCTTCCTGCTGGGGGGCTCTCGGGCCGGGGGGCATCCAGGGGCTCCCCTGGGAAGCAGGGAAGGCCGCCCTGTGCCTTGCCCACTCGGGTCTTGGTCAGGCAGTGGCTCTGGGCTTCCTGAACGGCCCTGATCTGTACTGTCAGGGAGAGGGGTCCTGCCCTCGTGAGGAAGCAGTAAGGAATTTAGGGTATGAGCCGCATCCCGTGGGGTAGAGAAGGAAGCACTTAAGTTCACCCACCACCTACACCCTCAGTCACCCCCCTGCCCACCCGTCACCGTCTGTCCCTCATCCCCAGTTGCTGTCCTTCTCTCTCCCGCCTTCCTTCCATTCTCCTTCTCCTGTTTTTTATTCTTCTCACCACGTACTTGTCTACATGTACCTGTTCTTTCTGTCCATTTGCTTACTCTTCCACCTTTCCCAACTTCCTTCTCTTATCCATCTTCTGTCCATCTTTTCAGTCTTTTACGACTTTAGCCATTGTTCAACATTTATTCAACCCATCGGTCCATCCATCCATCTGTCCACCTGTCCAGCCACCAGTTCATCCATCTACTGACCTGTCCATCTACCCACACGCTTATTCACTCGCCCACCTTTTCATCCATCCACTTACCGATTCTTCCAACTACCCAAACCCATTGTGAGTGTGTCCATCCATCCGTCCATCCATCCATCTGTCTATCCATCCGTTGGTCCATCCATCACCTATCCATCTATCCATTCATCCACCCATCTATCCACCTGCCTACCTGCCCACCTAGCCCTGTCCATCCACCTACCCATGCATCTAACCACCCATGCCCTCCTCTTACCCAACCATCCATACACCCACCTGTCTGTCCTTCCATCTGCCTACGCCTCTATCCATCTGTATACCTATCCTTCTATCCACTTAAGCACCCATCCACCCACCCAGCTATCCATCTATTCAGCTACCCATCCATCTGTCCATCTACCCACCTGCCACCCACCCACCCATCCATTCACCCAGTCACTATCCATCCACCACCTACCTACCTATCCCTCCCTCCATCCACTCTCCCACTCACCCATCTATCCATCTATCCATCCATGAACCCATCCATCCACCTACCTGTCTGTCCACTCACCTATCTGTCCACCAACTCCCCTACTTACCTTTCCATCCACCCATTTATCCCCTACCCACCCAGCTAACATCTGTAAGCACCTACTGTGTGTCTGGCCTGGGTGGTAGAGATAGTTGTGCACTGCTAGGGGGGACAGGGCCCTCCATCACGGCCTCTCCCATCCCAGTTGACGATGGTGACGGCTACGAGACGGACCATCAGGATTACTGCGAGGTGTGCCAGCAGGGTGGGGAGATCATCCTGTGTGACACCTGCCCGCGGGCCTACCACCTGGTGTGCCTGGACCCCGAGCTGGAGAAGGCCCCCGAGGGCAAGTGGAGCTGCCCGCACTGTGTATGTCTGGGTGGGCGGGCCGTGGGTGGCGGCGCTGGGGCGGGCAGCATGGGGAGGAGCCGGGCACGAACGGCCAGGGTGCCTCCACCTGGACTACCCCTCAGGAGAAGGAGGGCATCCAGTGGGAGCCGAAGGACGACGACGACGAGGAGGAGGAGGGCGGCTGTGAGGAGGAGGAGGACGACCACATGGAGTTCTGCCGCGTGTGCAAGGACGGCGGCGAGCTGCTGTGCTGCGACGCCTGCCCCTCCTCCTACCACCTGCACTGCCTCAACCCGCCGCTGCCCGAGATCCCAAACGGTGAATGGCTCTGCCCGCGCTGTACTGTGAGTGTTACGCCGCCCCGCCCCCACGCCCCCAGTGCCCCGCCCACAAAGGCCACGCCCACCGAGGACAGCCCCGCCCCACCAACGGGGCCTGAGCGCCCCGCCCTCTGCTGGCCCAGGCCACACCCCCACCCGGCCCGCCGCAGAGCCCCGCCCCCCACACCCAGGCCTGTTCGCTCAGTGCGCTTAGGATCAATATCCCAGCCACTGTTTATTGAGTGTGTGCCCTGCAGCAGCGGCTTCGGCGTATGTTGCATTCTTTCACCCTTACCGTGGGTGCAAGTACCCAACTTTTGCTATTCCTATTTGCAGAAGAGAACCTTGAGGCTCAGGGAGGTCACTGACTTGCTTAGGGCCACTCAGGGTCAGCACTGCCCTCTCCATCCCAGATCTCTAGCGTTGTGCATGAACTGCCTCGCGACCCGAGCTGGGTTCTGCAGAGGGTAGTAGGTTCCAGGAGCTGGAGCCTTGGCTGGTGCAGGGGCGCAGAGCACTCCCCGCAACACCCGCACTCCTTGCTCCCACTCATTGTGGGTGTGTGAAGCCCCTGTAGTCCACCTTGTCCCCTACCCACCTCCATGGGCTTGTGCTGCCGTGGGCTTGTGTGTGTGTGTGTGTGTCTGTGCACACGTGTGCACATGTCTGTGTCTGTGTAAGTGTTCTGGGTGGCACTGGACAGGGTACCTCCTTAGCTTTCCTGGAAGGCTGCCCTGGGATTGGGACAGGCAGGGGCTTCGTGCCTCCTGGCCCCATCTGTCCCCTAGAGCCAGCGTAGGGGCTGCTTTTTCCTCTGCTCTTGGCCTCCACTCGCACTGGGGTGAAACCAGGTCTGCTTGGGGCTTTGGGGTGAGTTCCCAGCCTTAGAATGCCTGTGTGTGTGATTGAATGGATGCCCAGCGGATCTGGGGGCACAGGCTGGGAAGCAAGCTCAGGTGGCATGTGCCAAGGTGCAGGGCAGGTGGGGCAGAGCTTGGACCCGTTGTCCCTACCCGGTCCAGCCTGAGCCCAGCTCTGCCTCCTGTGGGGGCCAGGGCTGCACACTCAGTGTACCGGGTGGTGCTTCTGTGGCAGCCAGCATCCCTGGGACCACGAGTGTGTTTCTGGGCTGATGGAGACCTGGCCTCCCTGCCCCAGCCACCGTGCATGTGTGGTGCCTGGGTGCAGCCCTGCCCAGGGGTGGCAGAGGTGGGTGGGGTTGCAGTCCTTGTGAGCTGCATGCTCTGAGGGAGAGTCTGGATGTTCTCAGGGGGCTCTCAGCAGGACATGGGGTGGTGGGGGACCTCACGGTCATGAGGAGTCCAGAGCCTTGGGTTCTGCTCCCTGCTCTGCGGTTCCTCACTGAGAGGGCCTGGCTCTTCCCATCGGGCCTGCGTCGGTGGCAGCCTCACCTGCCTGGCTCATGAAGCTCACTGCCACGTGCCAGTGTCCTGCAGTGCTCCTGAGGGTGGAAGGAGATGGGTCACCGCGGTGCTGACTTGGGACTGTGTGTTGGTGGGAGGGAGCCTGTCGTAGTGACCTGAGGATGGAGCCAGGCAGCTAAGCCCTGAACTGGGGGACCCTCTTCTGTCTACAGTGTCCCCCACTGAAAGGCAAAGTCCAGCGGATTCTACACTGGAGGTGGACGGAGCCCCCAGCACCCTTTATGGTTGGGCTGCCAGGACCCGACATAGAGCCAGGCATGCCTCCACCCAAGCCCTTGGAGGGCATCCCGGAGAGGGAGTTCTTCGTCAAGTGGGCTGGGCTCTCCTACTGGCACTGCTCCTGGGTGAAGGAGCTGCAGGTGAGGCACCTGCAGGTGTGGCTATGCTCATCCCTGAGCTGCCCTGTCGCCTGGGGGAAGGGGAGGGTGCTGCTGGGGTTGGGGATGGGGATGCTGAGGATGGGGATAGAGGCTGGGCCAGGGGGTGCAGGGCACGGCCCATCCTCCTGACTTTCTGTGCCCTCCGTGAGCAGCTGGAGCTGTACCACACGGTGATGTACCGCAACTACCAAAGAAAGAATGACATGGATGAGCCGCCGCCCTTTGACTACGGCTCTGGGGACGAGGATGGCAAGAGTGAGAAGAGAAGAAACAAGGACCCCCTCTACGCCAAGATGGAGGAGCGCTTCTACCGCTACGGCATCAAGCCCGAGTGGATGATGATCCACCGCATCCTGAACCACAGGTGTGCGCTGCGCCGTGGTGGCCCTGGGGCCGGTCAGCGCTGCACAGCCTTGGGGCCGGGACACATGGCCCTGCACTTGGTGGCCCGGGCACGGGCTGCCATTCAGACCTGTGTACAGGTGCAGCGGGGCAGGAAGAGAGGCCGAGGGTGGCTCTGCTGGCCATCAGACTGTCCGGGTGGAAGGCCAGGGTTGTGGAGGATGCCCAGAGCCACAGAGAAGAGCGGGAGCCTGAGCCGTGGCCTGGGAGCCTCTCTGCAGGGCGGGATCCTGTGCTCCCAGCTCCTGCTGAGCTACCGCTCTGTGCCTGAAGAAGGCCCCGAGGCAGCGTGGGCCCTCGTGTGGGGTACGGGCACCGCCCCGTGTTTATGACAGTGGCTACCACTCCTGAGTGCCAACCACCACGAGGGGCAGAGGCAAGAGTAGGCGCAGCAAGGTACACTCCCTTGCCCAGAGTCACACAGCCGAGGTGGGGAGCTGGGACTTGAACCCAGCGCTCCCTGAGAGCAGCTCCCTGGCTCTTCTTTCTGGGCTGCTGTTCCAACCCTCCCTGCTTCTCTACAGCTCGTAGCTGAGCAGCCTGGAAAGTGCCCGGGTGACTGGGCTGTCGGAGGCTGTGGGAGGCAGGACAGGGAGAACCTCGGGAGAGGAGCGGGCTGATTCCCTGGCTCCGGTGCTGGAGGACAGGTGGCGGCCCTGGGTGGTGCTCGGGGTGGGGCCTGGCATACCCACTGTGGGATGGCAGCTGGAGCTCTGCTCGCTCCACTTTTAACTTCAACTTCCCGGCTGTGCCTTGGAGGGGCTTAGGGCCGGTAGCTCCCCCTGTGAGAGTCCCCAGCTGCAGGGTCCTGCCAGGCAGCCACTGGGGCCACAGAGGGTAAGAGCCAGGTCGCTTGCTCTGATGCCCGCCTGGGGTCCCGGGGTCCAGGCCTCTGTGGTGTTGGCTTCTGTCGGGTGGGCTGCTGTGAGCTCACCAAGGGTCCGCTAGCATGGCCAGCAGTGGTGAGGGACCTGAACTTGAACATGCTGCTCCATCCCCTGCCCAGCTGCCCCTGAGGACAGCCCTGCCCTCCCAAGGGCCGGCTTCCGGGAGCCCCCGTTTACCCCTGTTTTTTGCCTTTATTAACTTACATGCTCAAAGCTCATACAGTGGCTTTTTGGTGCCTCCAAAGTGGGACAGGGCTATTCCTCTGAGCCTGCATAGCAACCCGTTATTTATTGAAAAAAAAAATCCACTGGTTTCCTGGTGAGTGGGGATTGGTCTTGCTGTTAATGGTCCCCAGGCCAGCTGCAGCCCATGCACCCCGTCTGTTTGCCTTGTGAACTGCCACTTAGGGGTGTCATGGCTCCCCTGCCCTGCCACACTCCCCGGCCTGATGTCCTGACCCACTTACAGGTGTGTGGGAGGCCCTGAGGACGTCCTCTGTCACCCCATAGTGGCCTGAATCAGCTGCGTGCTGCTGGGCTTGGTTTTTGGGTCCCTGGGTCCCTGGGTCCCTGGGTCCCTGGGTCCCTGGGTCCCTGGGTCCCTGGGTGTGTTTGTAAGAAGCCGCCCCGCTGCAGGAACTGCTTCTTTGCCTGCTGTCATCAGGGGTGGCACTGCCTTAGTCCTTTGGATTCTCTAAGTCAGGAAACAGTTGGGTGTGGCGAGGAGAGGCTGAGACAGGAGGAAGGTGATGCGTTTGAGGCTAACCTGGGATACACAGAGAGACCTTGTCTCAAATAAAAAACCAAAAGAGAAAAGAAAGAAGATGTCCATGGGCAGCGCAGAGCGTTCCTGCCTCTGGACCCCATGGCCAGACGGGGCCCAGTCCTGTGGCAGAGGCTGCGGGGTGAAGGTGCTGGGCACCGGCTCTGGGGGCCTCTCTTGGCCGGAGTGTCTGTGCCTTTCTCTGCCTCTGTCCCTTGTGGCGGGCTCAGGCAAGGAGCCTGCACTCCTGGGGAGCCCCCGCCCTGGCACTCTGCCCAGGACTGGTCCCAGGGCCCCAGGGGGTGGCAATGCTGGTGCTCCTTGTCCTCGAGGGCCCTGCCTCCACCCTGCCCACCCCAGGGGCCTGCGTGTCCCCACCGTCAGCTTCTGTGTCGCAGCTTCGACAAGAAGGGGGATGTGCACTACCTGATCAAGTGGAAAGACCTGCCCTACGACCAGTGCACCTGGGAGATCGACGACATCGACATCCCCTACTACGACAACCTGAAGCAGGCCTACTGGGGCCACAGGTGGGCTGTGCCACCCGGCTGCCGGGCCCTGGCCGGGGGTCCTCCGGCTCCAGCTTGGCTCAGCCGTGTGCTGCACTCTTCCCCAGGGAGCTGATGCTGGGGGAGGACGCCCGGCTGCCCAAGCGGCTTGTCAAGAAGGGCAAGAAGCTGAAGGACGACAAGCAGGAGAAGCCGCCGGACACGCCCATTGTGGACGTGAGTGCGGCCCAGGCGTGGGGGCCGGAGTCACAGCCACGCAGGACGGGGCGCTGGGAAGGCTGCAGCAGGACAGACAGCTGGCCTGCTAATCGCCCCATTCCCGCACGCAAGGGGCACCAGGGACTCGACGGGCGGTGTGCTCTGGGTGTCAGCCCGTGCCTGGCGCTGGGCTGGCACGAGGAGCACTGGGTGAAAGCGGCTTCTGCCGGGGGCTCACGGTGGAGACACAGGGATGGGGTCGGCCACTGGGGAAGGTGAGTGGGTCCAGCGCAGTGAACATGGGCCTGGGCCTGGTAGGGGCTGGGCACACACCGGACTGAGCAAGTGCCCCATGTCCAGGCAGTGTTTGGGGGTGGGAGGAAGTGGGGAGCAGAATCAAGGCGGTCACGACGTACTGGGGTCAAAAGCAGAGTCAGCAGCCAGGGAATTTCCCTGCTGGGAGGAGTACAGGATGGAGGGCTCCAGCCGGGGCCTGCAGAAGAATCAGAGCGGGCGGGAGCACTGGCGTGTGCAGAGGCCCGGGGTGGGCTCAGTGGCCCAGACTTGGACCCTCAGGACCTCGACCTCCCACAGCCCACGGTCAAGTTCGACAAGCAGCCGTGGTACATCGACGCCACAGGCGGCACCCTGCACCCGTACCAGCTGGAGGGCCTCAACTGGCTGCGCTTCTCGTGGGCGCAGGGCACCGACACCATCCTGGCCGACGAGATGGGCCTGGGGAAGACGGTGCAGACCATCGTGTTCCTCTACTCGCTGTACAAGGAGGTGGGCGGCCAGGTGGGCAGGTGGGTGGTGGGCAGGCGGGTGCCAGCCCCGGGGAGGAGCCTCACCGCTGCCGTCTCCCCGCAGGGCCACTCCAAGGGGCCCTACCTGGTCAGCGCACCCCTGTCCACCATCATCAACTGGGAGCGCGAGTTTGAGATGTGGGCGCCCGACTTCTACGTGGTCACCTACACGGGGGACAAGGAGAGCCGCTCCGTGATCCGCGAGAACGAGTTCTCCTTCGAGGACAGCGCTGTCCGGAGTGGGAAGAAGGTGTTCCGCATGAAGGTGAAGCGCTCACCCCTCGGAGGCCCCCGTCTGCCACGGGGTCCCAGAAGCTGCAGTCTGCGGGGCTCCCCTGCCCAGGTCCCGGGGAGGCGAGACCGGAGTCACTAGTTAGTTGCCCGGGCAGGGCTCCGCCTTGTGATCCTCCCACCTCAGCTTCCTGGACTGCTGGGATTGCAGGCTTGCTCCGCCATACCCGGTGCTTTGTCCTGCTTGACAGTCCCTTCCTTGATCGGCCATCATCCGTTGTAGCTATTTAATGTCTCATTCTCTGAGCATAGACTTGGGGGGAGTGCAGCCCTCAGGCCCTGCAGTTGGGTCACAGTGTGGCCGGATCCCTCCCGCCGGCACCCAGGTTCAGGCAGGGTGTGACGGTGGCGCTGGGCCGGCGTCGAGCGGTGGCAGGCCGAGAACCTGCCCCAGGGACGCGGACCTCAAAGAGCGCGCCCATCACCACCCCACAGGACTTTTTGTACAAACAACTGGTTCAGCACCAAAGGCGTTAGAATTAATTTCAAGTCAGTAAATGTAAGAAAAAGCATTCAGATCCCAGAGAGTTCTGCAGCTGGAGGCCCGTGGGCTTTCAAGGGGAGGAGGCGAGCGGCTCGTGTGGCTGCTGAGGACCTGAGGACCGGGGAGAGGGTGCAGGCTGCTGCTCCTGTTGCTCGTAGCACTGACTGCAAAGCAGCCGCCTAGGTGGGGGCGGGGCGCGGTTCCAAGGCCCCTCGGTCGCCCACATCGTCCTGTGCAGGCGCTTTCTAGGACATGGGATAGGATGTGTGCAGCCTCCGCCCATCCTCCCACACGCCTTGCTGTCTCTGACCTACGATGATGCCCTCGACGAGTGTCATTCACTGCGTGCCTACTCTGCTCTTGTTGAGGGAATGATGACATCCGAAAAAGCCTGTACGTTTTTGCTATGGGTGCAGTTTCTTTTCCCGATTATTTTCCGTCTGAGGCCGGTTGAGTCTGCGGATGGGGAACCTGCACATACCGAGGAGGGCTGTTTATCCCTCCTTGCTGGCAGCACCACTCCTACTAGATGCTGTGCTCTGGGCTTCAGCTGAGCCCTCTGGCTGGTGGCCGGTGTCTTTTCCATCCCTTCTGGGGCTCTTTCAAGTCTTTGTGAGGTTCCTCTCCATGCTTCCTTTTTTAAAAAATTTATTTTTTGGTTTTTTGAGACAGCTCTCTCTATATAGTTCAGGCTGCCCTTGAACACATGGTGATCCTCCTGCCTCAGCCTCCCCAGAGCTGGCACAGGCCTGCGCCACCACGTGCAGCTGTACACCTCCCCTTTGACTCTGTCTCCCAGATTGTGGTCTGCTCTACCCCCAGCTGCACCCTCCAGCGCTTCTCTTTCCTTCCAGAAAGAAGTGCAGATCAAGTTCCACGTCCTGCTCACCTCCTACGAGCTCATCACCATCGACCAGGCCATCCTGGGCTCCATTGAGTGGGCCTGCCTTGTAGTGGATGAGGCCCACCGGCTCAAGAACAATCAGTCCAAGGTGGGTGGCCGTGGCTGCGGGGCTGGGGCCACGCTGGCTGGGCCCCCTCTGCCCCCTGACCAGCCCCCCTCTCCTCCCCGAAGTTTTTCAGGGTTCTAAACAGCTACAAGATTGATTATAAGCTGCTGCTGACGGGGACCCCCCTTCAGAACAACCTGGAGGAGCTCTTCCATCTCCTCAACTTCCTGACCCCGGAGAGGTTCAAGTGCGTCCCCTGGGTGTGGCGGGAGGGCTGCTGGGGTGGGGCTGGGGCCTGTGCGGACGAGGCAGTCGCCCCTGAATCTGGGACCTGCCTGCCGGGTCTTATTGTCTCATAGAAGTCAGGGCCGGGGTGGGGGCGGCATGGACCCCACTTCTCACCCTCTTCTTCTCTCCCACCCGTCTTCCTGCTTGGAGTGGGGGCTCTGGGTGAAGATGGCTGATCTCGGATTTAGAGGGCAGCTGTGGCTCTGGTGGACTGCCCAGCCTGGGGCCCTCCCCGCCCGTTTCCTCACCTGTAATCTGCTAGTGCCCTGGAGAGCGCTTGTCCAGGATGGCCCAGAGGGTGGCACCTAGAGAGGGCTGTGACAACGTGGGGTGACGTGGGCCGAGAAGGAGACTCAGGGCCGTGCTGGGTCCCCGCCCCGCTCCCTTGTGCTCCCCTCTGTGGAGGGAGGGTGTGGCCTGTGCTCTGTCCTCTGCCCCGGCTTTTACCCCACGCTTTGTTGCAGCAACCTGGAGGGCTTCCTGGAGGAGTTTGCGGACATCTCCAAGGAGGACCAGATCAAGAAGCTGCACGACCTGCTGGGGCCGCACATGCTCAGGCGGCTCAAGGCGGATGTGTTCAAGAACATGCCGGCCAAGACCGAGCTCATCGTGCGCGTGGAGCTGAGCCAGATGCAGAAGTGAGTGGCACGGCCGTGCGCCTGAGCAGCTGCTTCATGTCCTGTCTCCAGGCTCGTCCCCTCAGCTGCCCCTCCACCGGGCCCGACCTGACCTCCCTGGGCCACTTCCTGGGCTGGCTGGGAGGGTGTTCCCGCCCCCCTGCCACCGCCTTGGCTCACCTCTGTACCCGCTTCCTTCTTGGGCTTTTTCTGAGCTCTGGCAGTGGCCCCACGTAACCCGCTGGGTGACTCTGGGTCTGTGGCTTCACCTCTGGGGGCTCCCCAGGGTGCTTTGTATGTGGCGCTTGGCCGTGGTGAGTGCCCGGGGTCCTGGGAGGACAGCGTGTGGCCCTTGGAGGCTGGCCAGGCCCCGTGCGTCCAGCCCGCCTTGCCCGTGCCCGTGCAGGAAATACTACAAGTTTATCCTCACGCGGAACTTCGAGGCGCTGAACTCCAAGGGGGGCGGGAACCAGGTGTCGCTGCTCAACATCATGATGGACCTGAAGAAGTGCTGCAACCACCCCTACCTCTTCCCCGTGGCTGCTGTGGTAGGCTCCCTGAGGCCGCTGTGGGGTGTCCGCTAGCTGCGGTGCGGGGTTCCTCCTGGCTATGCCCCCGCTCCATAGAGAAGGGAGCACTGGGTCACCCACAGACCCCTCAGTTGCCGCACTGACCCCAGGGCTGGCTGCACTCCTTTACCCCCACCCTGGCCGTGGGTGAGATGCTGAACATGGGGTCTGACACTGGCCCTGGTGCTGTGGCCTCAGCACAGTTAAAGCTCCTTCTGAGCTTCGCATCGTCCTCTAACACCGGGAAGGCTGTGGGGCGGGTCCGAGGACGAAGTCCCCATGCAGAGTCCTTGTAGAAAGCTCAGGGCTCCTAGGGCCCCTCAGTCATCACGCCACCAGTGTCACTGCCGCCTGGGTTCTAATTTAGGTCCTTTATAGTTTTACCTTCTCCCCAGCTCCAGAGCCAGGCAGGGGAGCTGTGCTGGGGTACGTGGCTCAGGCCACCAACAGACCCTTCTGGTACTGGTGTGGCAGGGGATTCTGCTGGAATTTAACCTTCTGGCGGGGTGTTGCCTAGCTTGGGTCGGAGGGTGGGCCCTGATGGACCCTCCTCTGATGGCAGGGGGCAGAAGGCAGTGCAGCTTGGCTAACCCGTCGTGTTTGTTCCCTGACTTCTCAGCCAGGGAGCAAGGCCGAGGGCAGGGACGGCGGGTCTGTGCCTGCCTGGAAATGCAGTACCTGGAGCCACAGCCCATGTGACCCACAGCTTGTCCCAGGCTGTTGACACTGGTCAGGCCTCCCCTCCTCTGCAGCCCCTTTGGTTCTCAGCCAGAGAAGAGCCCCCCAGAACCCCTCTCTGCTGCTCTGCAGGAAGCCCCCGTCCTGCCCAACGGCTCCTATGATGGTAGCTCCCTGGTGAAGTCCTCAGGGAAACTCATGCTGCTGCAGAAGATGCTGAAGAAGCTGCGGGACGAAGGGCACCGTGTGCTCATCTTCTCGCAGGTGGGCCAGAGCATCCGGCCCTGGAGGCCAGCCTTGCCCGTGCCCCCTTTGGTCCTGCTGCCATCCCCGGGGGGACAGTGGGTGTCGAATGTCACTCCCCTATGCCCTGGTGTGACAGGCCTTAGCACTGCCTCTGCATGGTCAGAGGCTCGGCCATCCAACCCCAGGTTTACCCGTTTTTCCTCCATCCCTTTGTCTGCATCTGCCACACATCAGGGATACAAGGGATGCACTCTGTCCCCTTGAGCTTCTCAGTCTAGATGGGCAGGCAGCTCACAAAACAGCTTTGTCCTACTCTGGTCATCTGCACTAGAGGTCTTAGTGATGAACCTGTAGAATTTGGGGGCTGAAAATGTTCCCCTAGGTCAGATAGAGCCAGATGCACTGCTCAAAGCCAGAATCTGGCACTCAGCTCCTCTGTGTACAAAAGTCAAGTGGAAGCAGCTACTGGTCCCTGCAGCCTCTGAGGTACCCTAGGTGGGTGGTGGGCTGCAGGGCTCCAGGAAAGCAGAGCAAATCTGTGACAGAGGGTGGCTGGGAGACAGATGCACAATCCCTTGATACCTCTGCCAACGTAAGACGCAAGTCTGGCAGAGATTTGGAGAGATCAAGTAGAAGGAACTGGACAAGTGCTAGGCATGTGCAGAGGAATGAACCGGACAAACCCCAGCTCCCCAACCTGTCCCAAAACTGGATGCTAAGACATCCCACAAAACTATAACTGGAATCCAAATGAAAACTGTAGTAGGATAGCCTGAAAAAGACTGGATAGGCATTGGTGGGTCCTCAAAAAGAGTCCTCCTTGCAAACATCCATGAGCCAAGAGGAAATTAATTAGGCAGAAGCAGGAGGTAAAGAAACAGCAGATACATCTGCATTTAGTCATTGAAATAAAACATTTCACCAGTGGATAAACTCTCACCGTCATGAAAGGGACACTACTGAGCTGGAACATGATGCTGAGAAATTTCCCAGGATGTAGTGTGGAGGGACAAAGATAAAGTCAGAAAGAGCATGGATGGTGTCTTGGAAGGCTCCAGTCATCACCTGATAGGAGTGTCAGGAGAAAAAACAGGAGACTGTGCAAAGCAGGATTTGACAAGTTTGTAGGCTTGGAGAAAAACATGAGGTCTCAGATCTGAAGTGCATTGTGGAGCATCAAGCAAGGACAATATTGATAAACCAACTTGTAGGCACCTGGAACCTACAAGGGAAAGAGGACCACATAAGCCTCAGGCTTCACATTACAACGACAAGTGGTGGAGACCATAGCAGCTTCGTCTCCATGCACCGAGGGGAGCTGGCAGATGAGTTTCATACCCAGCTAAACTACCCCAAGACCGCCGTGGAATAGACACGGTTATGGGAGTGCAGAAGGGATTGCTTTCCTTTTCTCCTGGGAAGTGGTGACAGGGAGACATCACAGAGGAGCTGATGTTTGAGTTCTCGGGGCAGTAAGGGGGTGGGTATTCCAGGAAGAGAATCAGGGGATTGGAATGGGTGGGGGAGGAAGGGAGCGTTGGGCTGGCAGAGTCTGGAGTTACAGGTGAGGAGCCAGGACTCATTCTCAGAGGCTGAGGCTGTGAGGGTGGCTTGGCTGCACAGTGTGAGGTTGGAGGCCACATTCTGCACTGAGTCCTGCCGCAGCCCTCCCTGGGTTCTGCCCGTCTTTACACTCAGTGGGCTGCTCTCTCCTTCCCCTATCCATGTCCCATGGGGCTCCTGGCTCCATGGCGCCCCTCACTCATCCCTCTCCCCTGCAGATGACCAAGATGCTGGACCTTCTGGAGGACTTCCTGGAGTATGAGGGCTACAAGTATGAGCGGATTGACGGTGGCATCACCGGGGGTCTCCGGCAGGAGGCGATTGACAGATTCAACGGTATCTCACTGCCCAGGGTTCTCATGGGATGCCCCTGGTAGTCCATGAACTGCTCTGCAAATAGCGGAGGGAAGCAGACCAGTCCTCAGGTCACAGTGGTGTCCCTTAACTTTAAATGCTAAAAGGATTCACCCAAAGGGACCTCGGTGGTCCACTGGTGTACTAGGAGGCCCAGCAAATAACTCTGCTCTGAGCAGAATTAGAAGTGGGCAAGAGGAAAAGCAGGTGGGGGAGGAAAATGTTGCCTTTGTCACCAAGTGATGCTGAGCGTCCTGAGGGTTCTGAGGGTCTGGCTGACACCACCAGATAAACCCGTGTCAGGTGGCACTAGGCAGAGTGTGGCTTCCTCCCACTGGACCAGGGCTCAGGGCACCTTCGGGGGCTGCTCAGGCTCACGTGGGTTCCTGGCCTCCCTGAGTGTGGGGGTGGCCACCCATCTGCGATGGGTTTCAGAACCGTCCTCTGCCAGGGACCTGTCACTGCAGTCCGCACCCTGCCATCTCCCCGCCCGCTCTCCTGTCTGTCACCCACCAGCCCCTGCCCCCGTTGTCCCACCCCACCTTCTGGCCTCTCTCACCAGCCCCTGGGGCCCAGCAGTTCTGCTTCCTTCTGTCCACCCGGGCGGGCGGCCTGGGCATCAACCTGGCCACGGCAGACACGGTCATCATCTACGACTCGGACTGGAACCCACACAATGACATTCAGGTCAGCAGCTTCCCCTTCAGCTCCCCGTCCTCATAGCCTCCTGGCTGGGGCTCTTCCTGTTTCTAGGGGGCCCTGGGAGGTGCACTTTCTCATCGTACAGAAGAGGAAACAGGCCCAGAGGGGAAGCAAAGGTGTCTAAGGCATGCAGCCATCTGTGGCCGCTGACCTCGGTCCGTCCATCAGCTCAGGACCAAGGTCACAAAGGAGGCGGGATGAGGGTGTCCTGGGACTCAGGGGTGCCAGTTTTGAGGTAGATGAGGAGCACAGCATGGGGGCCTGGTGGAGGTGGGGGAGAGGAAGAGATGCAGGAGGGGGCAATGGGCTGATGAGGCAGGGGAGGGGGCTGTGGCTGTGGAACCAAGCCACCAGTGTCCCTTGGCCACTGCTCCGGAGCAGGGCCACACACACGTTTAACGTACCGTTGGGGCACACACTCAGGTCTCACGCACACAGGCATACAGTTGTGTAGTCACACAGGGTCCCCTCATGTGGGGACCTGAGGCAGTGTCAACACACTGCCCAGGGCTGTTCCCAGGCCTCCCTGCCCTCGGAAGGTGGTCCTGTGTCCAGCTCCTGGTCCTGTAGATGTTAGCTCCTCATGCGCAGGGAGGTGCAGCCCTGTCAGAGCTGCGTGGCTGCCACTGTACCCAGCCTTCCACGTACCTGACACACCTGCATCACAGCGCGTTCCACTCGCTCGGGCACCTTTGCCTCCAGCCCACCCTGGCCGCCAGGCCCACACTCAGCTGGGCAGTCAGGGCAGTGGGCACGGCTGCACCGGCCCGTGCACGGCGCCCCTTCCACATGCAGTCAGGACAGTCCCTTCCTTGGTCATGCGCTCGTGCCTTCACCCCCACCACATGGCCCCAGCCCTGTGCCCAGAGCCCTTGGCCGTCTTCCTCAGGCCTTCAGCCGCGCCCACCGCATCGGGCAGAACAAGAAGGTGATGATCTACCGCTTCGTGACGCGGGCGTCGGTGGAGGAGCGCATCACACAGGTGGCCAAGCGCAAGATGATGCTGACCCACCTGGTGGTGCGGCCCGGCCTGGGCTCCAAGTCGGGCTCCATGACCAAGCAGGAGCTGGACGACATCCTCAAGTTCGGCACAGAGGAGCTCTTCAAGGACGACGTGGAAGGTGGGCCTCCTCCTGTGGGGTGCCATGGGAACCCCGGGTGGCCCTGCTCAGGTCCCCTGCCCAGGCCCCAGGGTCCCTGCTGGCCCCACTTTGCACAGCCCCTCCCGATCCCTGCCGTATCTCCTTCCAGGGTCCATCGGAGTGGGCCCGGGTGGGAGGTTTGCCCGCTGCCTGCCACCCCTGTGGCCCTCTGCCCTGTGCCAGCAGCCTCCCCCTCTGCCTTCCAGGCATGATGTCCCAGGGCCAGAGGCCGGCCACGCCCATCCCTGATGTGCAGTCCTCCAAGGGCGGTGCCCTGGCCGCCAGCGCGAAGAAGAAGCACGGTAGCACCCCGCCAGGTAGAGCTGCCCTGGAGAGGAAGGGGCTCGCTGCCACCCCACTTGGGCGTTGCAGCCAGGTGCGCTGTGAGCCCATGTCTGGTTGCGCTGGTCCTCGGCCCCAGCCCCAGAGGGGGCCAGGAAGGACCGCTGCTGGGAGTGGGACCTGGGCACTCTGCATCTGTGTCCCCACGCTGGACTCCGCCCCCCAGGTGACAACAAGGACGTGGAGGACAGCAGCGTGATCCACTACGACGATGCGGCCATCTCTAAGCTGCTGGACCGGAACCAGGACGCCACAGACGACACCGAGCTGCAGAATATGAATGAGTACCTAAGCTCCTTCAAGGTGGCGCAGTACGTGGTGCGCGAGGAGGATGGTGTGGTAAGGAGCCCAGAATCTCTCGCGGCGGCCCCGCCCTCCTAGCGGTGGCCCCGCCCTCCTAGCTATGGCCCCGCCCACCCCACAACAGCCCCGCCCTCTCATGCCAGACCCCCCGCGGCCTCCTGCCAGCTGCCCTCAGGGTGAGTTGGTGTTGAAGGAGTTGCAACCTCCAGACCCACCAAGGCCCTTGGGACTTCAGCTGTGCCCTCCCTGGGATCCAGCTTTCTCACCTGACCTCTTTGAAATGCCAGGGATCTGCCACCTCGTGTAAAAGCTTTCGAGGGCTGGTTTGAGGCCCTGCCTGGCTGGTCCCATACACCCGACCCTGCCTGCCTCAGGCCATCTCCTTCCGGGCCAGACCCCCCTTCCCAGAGTACACCCGCCACCTGCCGTGTCTTCTCCTTCCTCCACCCTGCTGGCAGCCCTGACTCCCTGGCAAGGGCTCCTCCTGGGCCTCTCCCGGCAGCCCCTGCACCTCCCTGAGCGCCTGCTACTGTCCTCAGACCCCGAGCGCCAAGCATCCCTCCCCTTGGGACCAGGAGCTTCCTGAGGGCAGGGCTGGGCCTCGCTCAGGTCTGCACCCCCGAGCTGGCAGAGGTGGCAGGAGGCTCCCCAGAGCCCAGGATGCCCGCCTGGCAAGCCTGCCCTGCTAACTGCAGCGCTCGCGGTGTCCCCAGGAGGAGGTGGAGCGGGAGGTGATCAAGCAGGAGGAGAATGTGGACCCTGACTACTGGGAGAAGCTGCTGCGGCACCACTACGAGCAGCAGCAGGAGGACCTGGCCCGGAACCTGGGCAAGGGCAAGCGCATCCGGAAGCAGGTCAACTACAACGACGCCTCCCAGGAGGACCAGGGTGAGCGCCCGCGGTGCGGCGAGGCCCTCGGCAAGGGCACCCTGGGCCAGGCGGGGGTGCTTCTGGAGGAAGGGGAGTTGGGCAGAGGAGGGGAAGGAGGGAGACAGGGGCCCGGCTGGGGCTGCCTCCCGAGTCTCAGCTTTCCTGTCTGTGAGAAGGCGGCAGGGCGGGGGCTGTCGCTCAGCGGTCAGCAGTGCCGGTGCTGACCGTGGGCAAGCCTGCACCACAGGGGTGCGGTCGCACAGTCCGCTCGGGGTCGTGTGTTGTCGGCGTTGGTGAGCCGGCAGGAAGTACCTGGGGGCCCTCGTCAGTCTCCGTTATTCCCGGACTGAGCTGCAGGGACGCACCTGGCCTTGGTGGGCATGGGCGTGGGCTGAGGGTGACTTCCGCTTGCACAACTCCCTCTGAGCCCCTGTGCCCGGCTCCCGCAGAGTGGCAGGATGAGCTCTCGGACAACCAGTCTGAGTATTCCATCGGCTCTGAGGATGAGGACGAGGACTTCGAGGAGAGGCCGGAGGGCCAGAGTGAGTGTCAGTGCTGCCGCTACCCCGGCACTGGGGCGCTGGCGGGGCGGGGCGGGGGTCGCCGGGGGTTCCTGCTGGCCTGGGACGTGGTGGGGAGCCCGGCCCCGCCCCTGAGGGTTTGTGCTGGGCTGCTCCCCAGGTGGACGGCGACAGTCCAGGAGGCAGCTCAAGAGTGACAGGGACAAGCCCCTGCCGCCTCTGCTAGCTCGAGTCGGTGGCAACATCGAGGTGGGGCCCGCCTGCAGCCTCCCTCCCAGGCCCCTCCTGCCACCCCTGGGGAGTGGAAGGGGATCTGGGGATGGCCAGGGTCCCATGCCAAGTGGAAGTGAGACTGGGATGGGCACTCAGGTCGGCTGCAGTCTCCCCCTCTTCCTCCTGTACCCCCAAGTTCTCAGTGCCCACCTTGTGCCTGCCCTGGGCCCACCTGCCCGCTGACCACCCACCTAGGTGCTGGGCTTCAATGCGCGGCAGCGGAAGGCCTTCCTGAACGCCATCATGCGCTGGGGCATGCCGCCCCAGGACGCCTTCAACTCCCACTGGCTGGTGCGGGATCTGCGGGGCAAGAGCGAGAAGGAGTTCAGGTAAGGGCGTGCCCTTCCCCCTGCCCCTGCCTGAGGTGCTTCTGCTGGGGTGGGGGATGGGCTCCTGGCGAGTGCTGTAGCCTGGGCTTTGGGTGTCGGGTGCTAGGCAGGGAAAATTTGCAGAAAACCCCAGCCAGCCCTCTGCCCGGAGCAGCTGGTGTGGATGGCAGGTGTCCTGTGGGTCCTGTGCCAGGGAGACTCTCTGTCCTCTGCTGGGACGTGGCCCGCAGGCTGGTCGGGTGGTGGATGGTTCCAACCGAGAGATCACCGGGGGTCCTTCCGGCCCCTGAGCCCCGTTCCCCACCCCAGAGCCTACGTGTCCCTCTTCATGCGGCACCTGTGTGAGCCGGGGGCCGATGGTGCAGAGACCTTCGCGGACGGCGTGCCCCGGGAGGGGCTGTCACGGCAGCACGTGCTCACGCGCATCGGGGTCATGTCACTGGTTAGGAAGAAGGTGGGTGAGTAAGCCTCACGCCGCACGGACCCTGGCACTGCCCCTGGGGTCAGCGTTCAGAGGCCTGGTGCCTGGCTCAGGACATGGGGCTGTCCAGGGTCCAGTCTGGAGTGAGGGTCCTGAGAGGCTGGGGCCAGGATGGTGGTCACAGGGCCGAGGAGGACGCGGGGGAGGGGGGACTGGCAGGGGAGTTCATGGCCAGCAGTGTGTCTATCTTGGTCAGCCTGGGACAGGCGCATCCCCTCGCCCTGCCCCTGCCCCGAGCCTGAGACACGTCTGGTCCCGCAGGCCAGCCCTGGCCCTCAGGGCTGAGCCACAATCACTGCTATCCCTGCCTCTCCCCAGGTTCAGGAGTTTGAGCACGTGAACGGCAAGTACAGCACCCCGGATCTGGTTCCCGAGGGGCCTGAGGGCAAGAAGCCAGGCGAAGTCATCTCCTCAGACCCCAACACACCAGTGCCTGCCAGCCCTGCCCACCTGCCACCTGCCCCACTGGGCCTGCCAGGTCTGGGATCCAGGCGAGCAGAGGAGGGCACCGGGGTCACCGGAGGGGTGGGCCACAGTGACCCTGCGTCCTCTGCACACTGTACAAGCTACAATTTCCCAGGCAGGCATGGTGGTGCCCATCTCTAATCCCAGCAGTCTGGGAGGCTGAGGCAGGAAGATACCAAGTTTAAGTTCAGCCAGGGCAATTTAGAGACTCATCAAGACCCTGTCTCAAAATAAAACTCAAAAAAGGGCTGAGGATGAAGCTCTATGTGAAGGGCCTGGGTGCAATCCTCAGTACCAGAAATCAAAGCAAACCAAAGCAAACCAAAGCAAAACCAGCTTCCCATCCAAAGTGTCCACATGTAGAAGTGTTGCTCTGTATAGTGGTTTTCTTTGTAATAATGGTATTGGGATTTAGTTCTGTACACATGACATAATTCCTTCTTCTAAGGTGTCTTAGTAACCTTTCTCTTGCTGAGACGAGATACCTAACACCCAGAGTTCAAGGAGGAGAGGTTTATTTGGTTCACAGTTTGTGGAGGTTTCAGTCTATACTCGGCTGGCCCTAAGGCAGGGTGGTGTGGCAGACAGGCATCGAAGTTCATGGTGGGCAGAGGCAGCCAAGCAAGCAAGGGATGGCCACAGCTCTAGCCCTTATATCTTTTTTTTTTCTTTAATTTATAATATATTTTATGAGTACAAGCAAAAGTAGCTTGCAATAGATTTTTTTTTATTTTAAAAATAAAAGGAGGAAAACATTACCTAGCCCTTATATCTTATCCAGGTTACTTAGGGTGGGTAGCACTCACACCTTTAATCTTAGTGCCCTTGAGCCTAGCATTGCACCATGAGTCAATCCCAGTGTCACACACTCTAGATTCAGCCACTTCCAAGAAAGCTCCACCTGTGACTGCAGGAGGCTTTAGGGGCATCTACACACAAGCCATAACATTCCACCCCTGCCCACAAAAATCCCCTTATGCACATCCCTTTATGCAAAAGGCACTTAGTCCGTGTGTAAGCATTGCCAAAGTCCTAATAGTTTCAGCATTGCTGAAAAGTCCAAGTCCCAAGTCCCCTCTGAGAGTTAAGGCAAACTCCTAGCTGTGAGCCCCTGTACAAATGAAAAGAAAGTTAAACACTTTCAACATTCAGTGGCACAAGATAAATACTTTCATTCCAAAAGTTGTCAATGGAGATAGCGAAGAATGGGAACAAAGCAAGACCAAAATCCAGCAGGGCAAACATTAAACCTCACAGTTCCACTTCCAGCATCCCTGGCAATCTGTGGCAAGATGTGAACTCCAAAGGGCTTGGGTGGCTCTGCCCCTACACCGCTGCCAGTGGGTGTCGCTCCCGTGGCTTCTTTCTGGGGCCGATTCTGCCCCCTCCTTGCAGTTTCCCTCAGGCAATCCACATTCCTGGCTTCTCCAAACTTCTTGTGCTCCACTGTACCTTCGGCTGCACCCTCATGGCTTCACGCACTGCCTTGTCAAGGGCGCACTGTCAGGCCTCCCAGGCCTTCTTCTGAAATCTGGGTGGAAGGCTTCTTGACCCCACAACTCTTGCATTCTGCCTGCGCCTAAAACCAGCACTATGTGGATGATGCCAGGGTCTGCTGCCCGCTGGAGCAGTAGCCAGGCTTCACTCTCTCTTGGCTATAGGGCCCAAGAACCAAATCTTAAGGCACAACTCCCCTAGGCCACCGCCATTCTGGAATATGGTGCTCTGGGGCTCTCTTCTCAAAACATCGTTTCTTTGCAACTCTGAGGCTGTAGAGGCTGGAATCCTGCTGGTGCTTGTGATATCCTCAGGCCATCTTTTCTGGTTTTTTTCTGAAATAACTTGGCTTTCTCTTGCTAGTCATTTACAGTTTCTCCTGTGTTCCATCTTTGCAACTCTTGCAACTTTCCTGGAGCTTCTTTGCTGGCCAAACTTAAAACATTTTAAATCATTTTGCTGGGTTCTTCGCTCTTGATTCTCAACATAAAACTTGCTAAAACCCCCCAACAGTAGCCATACCACTGCCTCAACCTTAAACTGCCTTGAAGTTTCTTCTGCTAGATTAATTAGTCTGCCACCCTTAATCTCAGTCTCAGGCAAGTCTCTGGACATGAGCAAGATGCGGGTAAACTTTCTTCTAAGGCATAACACGCATTGTCTGGAGTCCAGCAGCCAATGCAGTCCTTCCTAGCAGAATTTCTATCAGCATTCTGGTCTTCTGGGCTCTGACCAGAATCTCCCATCAAGTACAGCCAGGCATTCCAGCTCTGCTTTTTCAGCTGGCATCTCTGAACCATTCCAATCTCTTCCCACAAGCCAGTTCCAAAGACTCTTGAACCACATGAACAGCTACACTCACAGCAACAACCTTAGTTCTCTGGTACCAAATTCTATCTGAATTAACTTTTCTCATTGTTGAGACAAAATACTCAACACCTAAAGTTAGAGGAGGAAAGGTTTATTTGGCTCACAGTTTGTGGAGATTTCAGTCCATAATAGGCTGGCTCCAAGGCAGGGTGGCACATAGCACATGGGCATGGCAGAGGAGAAGCAGTTCATGGTGGGCAGAAGGTAATAAAATGAGAAGGGACGACCCTAGCTCTTTATGTCCCTTATATCTTATCCAGGCTACTTAGGGTGGGGAGCACTCACACCTGTAATCCTGGTGCCCTTGAATCTAGCATTGCACCATGAATCAACCCCAGAATCACACACCCAAGAAGCAGCCGCCTCTGAAAAAGCCCTACCTGTGACTGCATGAGGCTTTGGCAGACATCCAGCACAGCCGTAACAGAAGGTGAACTTCTCAGGGTCTTCTGCTGTTCAGAGTTCTACACCATCAGTCTCTGTGCCAGAACGTTTTAATCGCTGATAAGAAGCCCCATGTCCATTGGCAGCCACTTCCTGTCTCCCCAAGCCCTAGACAAGGCTGATCTCCTCTTCCCAAGGGTCTGCTGGTTCTGGACATTTTGTGTAAATAGAATCATCCATGTGTGATCTCATGAGCATAATGGAAGACACATCCGCATGGTAGCTTGATCTGTTCTTTTTTTAGTTTTGATTTTTTGATACAAGGTCTCACTGTGTAGTCCAGGCTGGTCTTGAACTCTTGGTAATCCTCCTGCCTCAGCCTCCTGAATGCAGGGGTTACAGGTGTGTGCCACCACGTCCGGCTTGTGTATCAGTTCTTCATTCCATCTGGCCAACATTTCCTGCACTGTTGATCTGTTCACCCAGTAGTGGACGTGTGGGCTGTATCTGCTTGGGGAGCTTGTACAGGGCCAGAGGCTCACCACTGTGTGGCTTGGGTTCCCGTTCCCCCTGGGTGTACAACTGGGAGTGGCAGCTGTGGGCCCCTTTGAGGGACCGCACACCTTATGCTCTCTTGCTGGTAGGCTGTGAGGCTCTGCCTCTTCATGTTTGACAGGCTGGTGCCTTTGAGATGCCAGCTGCCCTGGCGGCTGTGAAGGGCTGGCTCTCTAGTTGTGGTTTGCATTTTCCTGATGGCTGGGGATTGGGGCATCCATCTTTTCATGTGCTTACGAGCTATTTTTATATCTGTTTGAAGATGCGTCTTTGCAGATCCATTGCCCATTTGTATTCTAGTTTATTTTTGCAATATTGGGGATTGAACACAGGGCTTTTGCACTGAGGTTCATCCCTAGTCTCCCCCTTTTATTTTAAATTTTGAGACAGGGTCTCACTAGTTGCCCAGGCTGAACTCAGACCTGGGATTCTCCTGCCTCAGTCTCCCAGAGTGCTGGGATTACTGGTGTGTGCTGCTGTGGCACGCTTTTGGCATTGTTATTTATTTGTCTTCATGTGTTGTTCTGGTGATTGTGTGTTTATTTGGCCAGAGAGTCAGCCAGCCGGGAAGCGGGGCCAGGCCCCGTGTCAGGCTCCCGTCTGGACCCAACCTCCCATTTCCTTGCTTCTAGCTGAGCGGCCACAGCTGTCCTGACAGCCCTTGCTCTGCCTGGCGGCACTGCAGCCCCTGGTCAGAAGCCTGGCCTGGGCGCTCTGGGACCCCGGGGCCCTGGCCTTCCCCTCCCACCAAGCCATCTCTGTCCTTTCTCTCCTTCCAGACAAAGTGGACACCCCGCTGGGCTGCGTAGAGGAGAAGGAGCCAGGGCTGCAGAAGCCAAAGAAGCCCCTGGACACCCAGGTACGGGGTCCCTGGCACCTGGGCGGCGGCTGTGGGGTGGAGGCTGGGTCTGGGTCCCTTCCCCGGCCTTCCCTGGCCCGCTTGAACCCTGCGTCCTGGCTGCCAGCTTGGGCCTGGGTCTGAGGCTGCAGCAGGTGACAGTCGGGTCCTGGGCTTGGTCCCTGTGCCTGGTCCCGGCCCTCCCTCTGTGTCCGTGGAGGCCCCAGGCCCTCAGCCCCGGTGTGACCTCTTTAGGCCCCGCCAGCTGCCCTGGACAGAGTGGAGGGGGAGGACAAGCACGAGAGCTTGGACAGCAAGGACAGAGCCCGCGACGAGCGGCTGGAGGAGGTGGAGAAGGCCCAGGGCTCCCCGGAGCAGCTGCCCAAAGGTAGGGGCCTGGTGGGACCCACGCCCAGCACGGGTGGCCTTGCTCGGGCGTGGCTGTGTCCCAGTTGCAGGCACCCGGGCCTCAGCTCTCCCACGTGGGCTTTAACTTATCCTGTGTGTGGAGAGTGGCTCCCGGCGCTGTTTTTGTCTTTTTGAGACAGGGTCTTGCTATGCAGTTCAGCCTGATCTTGAACTCACTATGTATCCCAGGCTGGTCTCGAACTCACAACGATCCTCCTGCCTCAGTCTCCCGAGTGCCGGGATGACAGGCGTGTGCCACCACGCCCAGCTACACCTTTTGCTACAGATGTTACACGACTGCGTAACACATTCCTGCCAGCTACCCTGGCGGCTGCGAAGGGCTGACCCCCTGTGCTGAGGGTCTCAAGAGATGCAGCTGTGCTGAGTGCTCCCCTGAAGGCTGTGGGGAAAATCACTCCCAAGCTCCTGCGGGTCACTGGCAGAGCTCAGGTGCTTGAGGCTGGAGATCTGAGGTCCTGGCTCCTCGCTGGCACCTGCTGGTGGCCCACGTCCCCTGCCTCCCGTGCCACACCAGCAAGGGGCATGGAAACGCCGTCCTCCATGGCGTCCCTGACTTCCTTTTTTTGCAACCGTTCAGAGAAAAACTCTGGCTTCCTAAGGGCTCGTGTGTGAAGTCACATCTGCAGGGCCATCCCTATTTTAGGGTCACTGTCCCGCATGACATGACATAGCCACAGGAGTGAGAGTATCATGTTCACAGTTCCATACTCACACATGGTTTAGCAGATGTTGTAGAATCCTATAGTTAGCATGGTAACAACCGTGTATTTTATTTCTAGACATTTCATCTGGCTTTTCCATTTTTTTGTCTTATTCTTTTCCCTGTAGGTTCTTTTCCTTTCTGTTCCTTTTCCTTTCTTTCTTCCTTTTTTTTTTTTGTCTTTTTGAGACAGGGTCTCCTTATGCAGTTCAGGCTGGCCTTGAGCTCACTTTGTAGCTTAGGCTGGCCTCGAACTCTCCTCGAGCCTCCTGCCTCAGCCTTTTTTTCTTCTCTCCTTTTCTCTTCTCTCCTCTTCTCTTTTCTTTCTCTTTTTTGGAGGCAAAGTCTCACTATAGGTCAGATTGGCCTCAGACTCATTTTGCAGCCCAGGCTGAACTCGAATTTCAGTGCTGTGCGCCTGCCAGACCTTGCACGGCACTGACGGTGGTGGGGCCCTGGGCTCCTCGGCTCCCCCGCAAGAACGAGCCCCTTGTCTTGCAGAGGAAGCGCCTCCCGAGAAGGAGAAGGCCCCAGACAAGCTGGACCTTGGGCTCAGTCACGGCAGAGGGGACAGCGGGGACTTCGGGCCAGGTATGGGGCTCTTCCCTGAGCTCCGCTGCATGTCCCTTGGCCTCCCTGGGCCCTGGTCAGCTCCTGGGTACCATCTTCAGGCCCTGGGCCCTGACCAGAGCCGACAGAGGGTGCTTGGCCTGCCCGGAGCCTGATGGCACAAGTGCTGTCATCCAGGGACACGGATGCCATCCGGTGGGGGGCGTGCTGATCCCGGGGTTGGCCTGGAGGATTAGGGCTCCCTTCTGTGGACCTCTAGGATGCTGTCCTCAGGTCACCTCACTATGTAGCCCAGGCTGGTCCCAAACTTGTGGAGATCCTCCTGCCTCAGCCTTCTCCTCAGCTCTTCGAACTCCTGCCCTGCCCCCAGATGGGCCCGGAACCAGCCTCTCTGTTTGGGACAGGGGGGCTGCAACTTGTCCCTGCAAAGCCCTTGTCCATGAGCTCCTTAAACACAGGGATGCATCCTTCCAGATGGAGAGTGTGATCTGTTCTCCCACAGATGACTCCAAAACTGATGAGAAGGAGGCCAGCGAGACCCAGCAGAATGGTGACAGAGAGGAAGACGAGGAGGGCAAGAAAGAGGACAAGAATGGCAAATTCAAGTTTATGTTCAACATTGCGGACGGTGGCTTCACAGGTATAGGGTCCTGGGGATCTGGGCAGGTGCTAGTTTACACTAGAGTGTGAGTGGTGGATAGAAGTCCCTGGATAACCTTTCGTAGCAGCAGGTGAGCTATGAGCCAGTGTCGAGGGAGAGACTGTTTTCCCCAGGCTCAGCTCGGGGTAGATGCAGGGTGGGGCCTCGCCTCCTGCTCACTTTGGCTGTCTCCCCAGAGCTGCACACCTTGTGGCAGAACGAGGAGCGGGCTGCGGTGTCCTCGGGGAAAATCTACGACATCTGGCACCGGCGCCATGACTACTGGCTGCTGGCGGGCATCGTGACGTATCCTGGGTCAGCCAGGCTGCACAGCACCCATGGCTGTGGGCGGGGCCCTGCCTCCTCTGTGGTCAGCAGGCCTCCTGTGTGCACCTGTGCCCAAAATTCCCTCTTCTGGCGGGGCGTGGTGCCCCGCACCCATAATCCTAGCACTAGGGAGGCTGAGGCAGGAGGATCACCATGAGTTCAAGGCCAGCCTGGGCTACATAGTCAAAAAACGAAAACAAAAAAAAAAATTATCTTTTCTCACTTGGACTTGGTCATTCTCGTGGCTGAGACACTGGAGCCCACAGTTTAAGGATGAAGAGGGTTATTTTGGATCCCAGTTTGGAGCAGTTTCAGTCCGCTGGCTCCAAGGCAGGGCACCATGGCAGAAGGGCCTGGCGGAAGAAAAACTGCTCACAGCATGGTGGGCAGGAAGCAGAGAGAGGAGGAGAGGGGAGGGAGGGAGAGGACCCCTTCCAGGCCACGCGCCCGCGAGCACCTCTTGTTGCTGGGGTGGGGGGGCTCTCCCCGTGCAGCCTCCCTGCCGCACCTGCCCACACCAGCTGACTTGGTCACCGTTGTCATTGTCCACGTGTGCACATGCCTCGGAGGCTGATGACCTGCCTGAGCAGGAGGGGGGAGCCCTGGGCCCCCACTTCCTGTGTTGGTTCTGCCTTAACGGTGGCCTGCAGGCACGGCTACGCCCGCTGGCAGGACATCCAGAACGACCCCAGGTACCTGATCCTCAATGAGCCCTTCAAGTCGGAGATCCACAAGGGGAACTACCTGGAGATGAAGAACAAGTTCCTGGCCCGCAGGTTCAAGGTCAGGCCCCGCGGGGCTCAGAGTGGGGGCACTGGGCAGCAGGAGGGAGGCCTGGGACAGGAATGTGGGACAGTAGCACCTCTCCCATATACCTCCGCGTGAGCCAGGCTGTCCAGCGTCAGGCACTCAGTCACCTAGCAGAGTGACGAGGCCCTTGCTCTGGGCTGGGCCCCACCATGTGAGCGTCTCCCTGCTGGGGGAGATGGGTACAGGGACCCCAGCATGGCGGAAGCTCCAAGCTCTGGCCAGGTCGGGCGCGGACGGATGGTGGGCGGCAGGATGTCTCCCTCGTTCTCTCTGGCCCTGGGTCCTGGGTGCTGGGGCGTGGTGGCCGCCCAGAAGGCCCACCCCAATCCCCTGTCATCCCCCAGCTGCTGGAGCAGGCGCTGGTCATTGAGGAGCAGCTGCGGAGGGCCGCGTACCTCAACATGACCCAGGACCCCAACCACCCGGCCATGGCCCTCAATGCCCGCCTGGCAGAGGTGGAGTGCCTGGCCGAGAGCCACCAGCACCTGTCCAAGGAGTCCCTGGCCGGGAACAAGCCAGCTAATGCCGTGCTGCACAAGGGTGAGGGCCTGCGCCGGGGTGCGGGACAGGATACCAACCCCCGCCAACCTGGGCAGTGTGGCTCCCTGCCGGGACAGGCGGGCCGGGCCAGCCTCCTGTCCGGCCACTCCTCCTCTGGGGCAGCCTGGGCGGGGCCTGGGTGGCACCGGACACTCACACGGGGCGCTCCCGACCCCTGACCCTCGCTGTCCGCTTCCAGGGAGCGTCTCCTTGTGTCCCGGTTGTACAGGTGAGGGTGTTGTAGCCCAGGGAGGGCCCCAGCCCAGACCTGACTCTCGCTGTGGAACTCTAGTCCTTGGGCTCCTTTCTGTCCCCAGCCAGCTCCCAGGGTGGTGGCAGGGTGCCCAGAGCAGAGAGGGACATGCAGGCCCTTGGTCACACGGGACTTGCCGCCCCCGAACCCCCATGGTCTGCAGCCTGGTCGTGGGCCCCATCCTGCCCCGCAGGCTCGGGGCTCTTGGGTTTGGTCAGTCCCTAGCTCTCCGCTGGCGGGAAGTAGGGGCCCCAGGAGGCGTTCTTTGGAAAGCCCCACAGTTCCGATTGGCAACGCCTAGTCCTCGGAAGGCCTGGCGAGGAGCGCCCCCTGGTGTCCGCTGCTGGCGGCTCGCCGGAACGCACCCTTGTAAATAGCCCTGGCCTGACTCCCTGCACCCTAGGGGCAGGCAAAGCGTCCACTTCTGGCCTCCCGCCCTGCAGTACTGAACCAGCTGGAGGAGCTGCTGAGCGACATGAAGGCGGACGTGACGCGTCTGCCCTCCATGCTGTCCCGCATCCCCCCGGTGGCTGCCCGCCTGCAGATGTCGGAGCGCAGCATCTTGAGCCGCCTGACCAACCGCGCCGGGGACCCCACCATCCAGCAGGTCAGGCTCGGCCCGCGCGTCTGGGCGCTCCCAGGCGGCTCGGGTGGGTGCGGGGCCACACCCATAAAGCTGAGTCCTTGCCTCCAGGGCGCTTTCGGCTCCTCCCAGATGTACAACAGCAACTTTGGGCCCAACTTCCGGGGCCCTGGACCGGGAGGGATTGTCAACTACAACCAGATGCCCCTGGGGCCCTATGTGACCGGTAGGTGCCCGTCCGCTCCGGGCAGCATGCACACGGGTGCCCTGCGGGGCCCGGCCTGCCCGCTGCCACGGACGCCGGGCGAGCCTGCCGTGTGCTCTCTTTGCAGACATCTAGCCGGCCCCGCAGCATCCGCCCGTCGCAGCGCTCATTTCCAGCCGAGGTGAGGCCCCCTACCGGCCGGCTGGCTGCACTGCTGCCCCGGCTGAGCCTGGCGCTTCGGGGCTGGCTAAAGCCGGCACGACAGGACTAGTGGGCTTTCCCTGCCCTGCCCGCTGGCAGGTGCCCCTGGGGGTCTTGTTTGTCTCACCTCTCCCTGCCCACAGCAGAGGGTGGCTGCGGGTTTGGGGCTGTTATTGGCCAGGAACGGGGTGCCGATTCCAGACCTTCACAGGGCCACCACTGCCAAGTCCCATTAGTCCCCCTAAGAACTGTCACCTGAGGGTGGAGGTGCCGGGGCCCCCTCTGAGCTCTGGGGTCAGCTGTAGCTCCCTGTGCCTCTGGACACCCGGCCACCCGCGCCACGTAACCTGCTGATCCGCCTTCTGTAGCCGCGCTTGCTGGGCCTCCTGCCTGACCCCCACGGGAGAGAGAAGCTGCCGACTTGTAGGAGCCGGTTCCACCTCGGGACAAAAAGGGAAACGGAGTGATACTGTCACACGGAGGATGAGGCCCCGCCCGGCCGAGCCAGAGCCCAGAAGTGCCACCTCGTCCTAATTCAAGTGTCCATCCACAGCCACGTGGATGTGCCCCGGCCCCCCTTTCAGAGCGACTTCTAGAAAAGATTCATTTATCTGTACATCTTTGCACTTTCCTATTGAAGACATGGACGCTTTAGTCTTGATAAAAGTTGGATGACGTGTGGAAGATTCGGGCCTAGAGCACCCGTGTCGCTGTCACCGGGCTCTGGACCTGAAGGAAAGCTCCCTGACTGCCCTGCTGGAGAGGACACAATGCCTGGTGACATAACGAGCCCTGAGGGTGTCCCTCACCTCATCTGCCTGTCTGTGATGACCCTTCTGCTCTGTCCCCTGACTGCCTGGGACCCCTGCGCCAGATGGCTCAGGGAGTGGCTGTCCAGCCCCGTGGTAGGGACACTGGCTGGTCCCAGGTCTGAGCAGGTGTTTCCTGCCTCCTTCCTGGGATTTCCTGGAGCAGGTGGGCACAAGTCTGTCCCTGGCCCGGCGTGGCAAAGGCTTTGGGCTCTGGTTATAGCAGTGGGGTGGTGACCTTTGTGGTGCATGGCAGGCTGGAGTGTGTGTCCCAGAGGTGGGCAGGGCCTGAAGCCGTGACAGAGCCACTGCAGGAAGGGGCGGGAGGGTCCCTGTCTGCCGGAAGTGTGGCTGCAGGCAGGTGTAGCTCGTGCCCTCGCAGGGAGGGTCATAGTCACGGTGCCCCAGGAGGCCCTGGGATCCCCATCCCACTCACCTTCGGGTGCGGACTTCCCTGTCCAGAGAGTGCCCTGGGCCACAGACACCAGGGAACCAGACAGACCCCTCTTGGAGCGGGACTCCTCTCTCTCTGTCCCTGCAGAGGCTTAGAGGTGACACTTTCTGCATAGGGCCACCGTGTGCTTGCTGAGTTCTTGGAGGGTAGGGGCAGGACCCGTGGGCCTCTGTCTCCCAGGTGCCTGCCTCATTCTCTGCAGGAGCAGCCTGAAGCCCTGGGCCGTCATCTCCTGGGGCCGTGTGCTGGAGTGCCACTGTGGTACCATAGTGTGGTACCATGCTGTGGCCCTGGCTGGGGTGAGGCTTGGGGACCCAGCCAGGCCGGAGGCCAGTCTGTCTCTGACCCTTCCGCTGGCCCCAGCCCAGCCTGGGAGGAAGGGACCGAGGGGACAGAATGCTTCGAGCGTGAGGAGGAGGCCCTGCGTAGGGCAGTGGAGTAGCTCTCCGGGGACACTCGATGTCTGTGGGCCTGGCTGGGGCTGGGGGCAGGGCAGTCTCTGCAGCATCTCATGGACTCACAGTCTGCAGTGTGGCTCTTTCTCTGAACCCCCAAAGGGCCAGGTCCCCCAACCCCTTCAACCTTGGCTGGCTTCCCACACTCCTGTCTTCATCGAGAGCCCCAAGGGGGCAGAGTGGGGAGCCCAGGAGGCGGGGAGCATTGTGAGGGGCCCAGAGCATGGCCTGGGCTTCGTTTCACTGCTGGCAGGACTGGGGACCTGAGTGGCAGAGTCCCTGCTGGCGGCCCGTGTTCCCGTTCCCCAGTGGGGCCCGGTTTCTGCGGAACAGTCTTTGGGTCAGAGGTCTCAGAAGGTGCTCTGGTGACGCTGGGAGTTGGGTGTGGAGTCCTGTGTCCCCAGGAACAGTCTGAGGGGAGGAGATGCACCCTGAAAGCCCCCTCTGGAAGCTCCTCTGCGTCCTGTGAATCTGGCTTCTCTGTGTTCAAGGTCATCCTGGGTGCCTGGTGCCTCCGAGGTACCTCCAGGCTCCCGAGCCCCAGGCTGGGGCTGACAGGGTCCTTGCAGTGGCTCCTGCCGCCCTGCCAGGCACTGTAGGCGGGGCTGAGGAGAGGGCAGGCTGGAGGACCTGGGAGGACGAGCATTGGTCACTTGGAGCCTCAGGCTGCGCTCAGCGCCCACCGCTGCCTGGTGGCCTGGCGGTGCCAGGAGGCGCAGGAAGGAGGCCGTGCGCCGCGGTTTATACACCCGGAAGTTTACAGTGGTGGCGCATCAGCCCAAAGTCATTGGCATTGTGTTTATGATCTTTCCCCCGTTAATTTTCAGGATTTTTTTTTAACAAAGTATTTTTTTAGGTGCGATGACCCAGAAAGGGCCCGTCGGGTGTGTGTGTGTGTCCCGAACTCTTCTCGTAGAGGGCGGAGCCGGTCTGGGGGCAGCGGGGCGTGGGGGTGGCACCCGGCAAGCTGGGGGCTCTCAGCCAGGGTCCCAGCAGACGGGTGGAGCTTTGGACGCCAGGCCCCCCTGTGAGTCGTGACGTGTTCCCCGTCCTGGCCTGAGGGAGGCTGGACCGTGGCTGTAGCCAGCGCAGTCACCTTTACTTTGTACTCTGTGTATGTTTTGGTTTCTGTGTTTTAATAAATCCTTTGGGAAGGGAATGGCTCGGTGTGGTTTTTACGGGTTTGACTGGGAGCCAGGCTGGGCAGGGGAGGTCCGTCCTTGTCCTTCAAGGAACCAGGCCTTCTGAGGCTCAGGACTCACTGGGAAGAAGGGGAGCCCCGGACAGCTGTGTGCTGGGCTGCCGTCCCCCTCCTGCCCGCACCCGTAAAAACACCTTGCCAGGCCCTGAACCGGGCCTTCGTGAGCACGGCTGCCCCACGGGGCAGGGGTGTGGGAAGTCCTCCGCCCTGGGCCCTCAGAAGTGTCATCAGAGAATGTGTCTGGAGGTGTGGGAGGCAGCCCCACCCCCTACGGGCCTGAATCACTTGGGAGAATAGTGGTGCATCCCTAGGGTGACCCCCGTCTCTGTCCCTGGAAGACCCTTCCTCCCCTCCTGCCTTGGTTACGCCTGCCCCTGGTGGCCTTGTCCTCCTCCCTGGCGCTGCCCCTGAGGGAATGAGGGCACAGGAGGCGCAGAGACAGACGGGCTTGGGTTTTATTTGTCATTCCATAAATACGCGGCTGTCCTGAAGCTGGAGGCATGGTGGTCTCTGCCTCGAGGGACGTAGTAAGCAGAGGGACCACGGTTGTTAGAAAACAGGCGAGAAAGCAAGTTATGTACACGGCCGCTGTGCGGCGGAGGGCCGGCGCCCCCGCTCCTCAGGACCTTGGCCCTCACCGTGGGGTTCAGGAGGGTGGGGTGGGCCCCACTGTCAGCGATGGAGCTCCGGCCCCTGGGCCAGCCTCTGGGCAGGGCAGCCGAAACTGTGGGAGGGAGACCTGGGCCCAGGGAGGTAGTGCTAGCTGCCCTGTCCAGGCTTTGGGCCCTCACCCTTCCCCAGAACCCCTCCCAGGGCCTCCCAGGGAGCTCCCACCCCAGGACACGTGGCCCTGCGCTCCCTGCGGGTGGCTATGGAAGGAACAGCACCCCCAGGAGCCAGAGGCTGCCTGGGCCTGGATGCCATGCACGTGGGCCTTGCTGCGGTCCTCCCGGGGTCTCCCTTTCTTGGGCAAACGGCCAGCAGGGTTTCAGCTTTCCCTTGAGTGGCCCCTGGGAGGCAGCACTGGGCACGCCGCGTCCTCCTCCCCGCAGTGGGAGGTGGGTGACCTGGCCCTGCGTACTGCGGGAACCCCACAGGCCCTGTCCCCGGACAGCCACCTCCAGTCCTCACACAGAGGGGAGTGGCTGCAGCCTGGTGGCCTCTGCCTGGAAGGCCCTGCCCCTCCGCACACCCTTGGGTGCCTTCTGATGGAAACTCTCGGCAGGGCTGGGTGGACAAGCACCCAGTGCCTGGGGCAGTGTGAGGGTTCTGGACTCCAGGGCCCGGAGCAGAGGCGCTGGAGAGTGGGGGCAGCCAGGCTCCGGCTCCTCTGTCCCTTGCTCAGCTCCTCTGCCTGTGTTTCTGTGGCTTCCTCCCAGCCACTGTCCCGGCCTGCACCCAGCCCGCACCCAGCCTGCACCCGATAGCAGGCCCTGGATGGGCACCTGCACAGGAGGGCATGGGCTGGACAGCACAACGGGAAGAGGCTCGGGTTCTCCCTGGGTCAGGGGGCGCAGCTGGGGTGGGGGCGGGTTCTGCACAGCCCTGGCCCCACGCAGCTTGAAGGCTGGGTCCCCTTAGGACTGCGTCCAGGCAGCACGTGCCCCAGAGCCCTAGGTCTCCTGGCTGTGTCCCTCTCTCCAGCCCCTGCTGCTAAGGGTCTGGGGCTCTGCTGCGGGTCCTTCCCTCTCTCCAGCCTGCTCGAGGCCGTGCTGGGGCTGCATGGAAGGGAATGACCAGCCCTGGCCCTCTCTCTGGGGAGAGGGTCCCTGGGTTCTTCTCCTACATGTGGGGGCTGCACCCAGAGCCCCTGCACCTGCAGCGTGGAGACCCCAGGGACCCTGCCCTGGGAAGGGCTGAACAGGTCCCCTTGCAGAAGCCAAGCCCGTCGCCCTGGCCGGGGCAGAGGTGTTAGAGGAGGGTCTCTGCCAACCTAGAGGAGCATAGCCTCGTGCACGGGGCCTGAACTGTGCCACCTGCCCCCAGTGTGGTCTGCAGCCGCAATCCAGGCTGCAGTGCTTGGCGTTGGGCCGTCTGGGTCAGGACAGAGGGGCCTGAGCCCTGGGGCCCTTCCTGAGTGCCCGGCCTCCTGGCCGGAGGCACCTTGATTGTGTACAGGACTGAACACAACAGGACAATTAGACAGAAATCAGATGCCCAGATTTTTGTGGGTCCCCAGCCACAGAGCCAATCCCCCTGGGGTCTCTGCCCCTGCCAGCAAGGGTAGGTGTGGGGGCCAAGGGCCAGCTGGACAGCCGAGGCCCCGCCGAGGCCCAGCGGACACAGGGCCGGACTGGGGTGGACAGGGTGGCAGGAGGGGCCTGGGCTTGGGCCCGGCACAGTGCGCCTGGAGCAGGTGGGGAGCGGGGGACAGGAGAAGACCCCAGTGGGGGTGTGGCAGGGGAGAGGCCCGCCCTGCCTGCCCTGAGGACCCAGCCAGGTCTCGGCCTGGCCTTGGCTTTGGGAGTCTCCATGAAAGGCTGGGTACGAACTCGGTTTCTCCCGGAGGAGGAGCAAGGCTACGGGTGGGCACGGGACCGACGCCGTCCCCGGGCACAGGCCCCACAGCGTCTGGCGAAGCAGCAGGCGGCGTCTGACAGAGACTCAGAGGTCACGGCCGATGGTGTCTGGGCGTGGCGGGTTCTCCTGGATGCAAACCCACTCTGCACGTGGCGTGGAAACAGCGTAAGCAGCGAACAGACGAGGAGGGGGCCGGAAAGTGTCCTGGTGGGTGGCGGGGCCGACTTAGGATCTGTAGTCCTTTTTGCTGTAGGGTTTATTGCCCAGAATGCTGTCGATCTCGTGGATGATGGACGAGGACAGTTTTGGAAGGACCTGTGTGCAAGGACAGGGCTGGTCAGACTCTCGCCCTCCGTCTGTGGGCCTTCTCAGAGGCGGCCACACTTCCGGCACCCTGTGCCGCCCCGCTGTGCCGCTCACATCTGGGCTGTGTGCGCTGCTTGTGCGCTGCCGAAGTCCGGGTCAGGGTGCCTGCTTCCAGCTCCAGCCGCTCTGGAGCCTTCCGGACACAGGGAGGCAGTGGTGCAGCACCCACAGGCCTGCCTTCCCGGCCCCCGACTGCTCTCCCAGCTGTCCTACCTCGGGTGACATCATGCCATCACGTCAGCCTTCCAGGTGACAAAAACCTTGGTGGCTCCGACCGCTCTGGATCCAATCATGGCTGCCATCTGTGGTCCCTGGGGACGCAGCCCATCCCTCCAGGGTCTGCCCCAGTCTCCGCTTCCCCGAGTGCCCACCAAGCTCCTCTCCAAAGCCCGGTTGGTGTGTGCCCCTGCTCTGGCCACGCCTCCCAGGGCTCCCACTTCTGCATCCTCGGAGGTGCCTGGCTCAGGCCCACAGCCTCCTGGCCCTTCTGTGGCTGCACCTGCGGCCCAGAAAGTTCTCTGTGCTGGAGACTTTGCTCAAAAGCCGCTGTTTCCACCAGCCCACCTGACAGCCCCCGAACCCTGGGACCTCAGCGCCACTGGTGCCCCTGCTTGGGTCTGTCCCGGTCCCTTCTGACACCAGCACAATCCTTTTTCTCTCTCTCTCTCCCTCCCTCCTTCTTTCCTTCTTTCTCTCCCTTTTTAGGGATTGAACCCAGGGCCTTCACCCTGAGCTACCTCCTCAGCCCTTTTCATGTTTTATTTTGAGTCAAGGTCTCCTTCAGTCACTGAGCTGCCCAAGCTGAGCTTGAACTTTCACACTGCCTGCTTCAGCCTCCCAGAGTGCCAGCACTGCAGACACGCGCCACTATGTTCATCTAAATCTCCTGATCCCTTGCACTGTTTCCGCGGGCTCCTGCTAGAAAGGAGCTTCCCAGGAGCAGGGTGTCCTGTGCTTCCTGGAGGTGGGCGGGATGGCACCTGGTGGCCGTGCTGCCCCGAGGGCCAGCTGGGACTGCGTCCTGTGGGGGGCCCTGGCTCACCTGTATTGCCCCGATGTTCTCCATGAGCTGCTCTGCATTGGAAGCACCCAGGAGCACGGAGCTGACACCCTCGTTCCTCAGGCACCAGGCTGGGGACAGTGAGACAGAGGTGAGGGACGCACGCCCGCTGCAGGCCCTCTGACCCTGAGGGCGTCCCAGATGTGCAGCAGTGCCAGGTGGGGCTTTGCTTAGGGGGTGGCTCAGGGGCACTGGGGAGGCCCTGGCCTAGCTCTCCCTGTGGGGAGGTGACCCGAGGGCTCCCCACGACCCATGGCTGGCAGAGGGAGGGTGACCCAGGCTCTCAGGGACCCCGCCACCCTTCCAGGGATGTGGATCCTAATCCTGCCCTTGGAACCATTTCCTGTGGCCACCTGGGGGTGCCGCCAGGAAACCCAGGAAGGTTCTCAGCTCCATTCCCTGTAGCCAGCGGGGAACACTGCAGCCTAGGCTCTCAGGGAGCTCCGCCACGTCCCCTGGACACGGCCTGTCCCTGTGCTCAGCGTTACCGATGGCCAGCTGCGGGAGGGAGCAGCCCAGGCGCTCGGCGACGGCCTGCAGCTCCTTCAGCTTCGCTTGCTGGCGCCGGCCCTCCTCGCTCAGGATCTTGTCCTTCAGCCACTGATAGCCCTGGGAAGGGGACAGCTCTGGTGAGGGGCATCACCCGCATCTCTGCATGAACACGGCCTCCTCCCCTGCCCTGGCCGCACTGTGGGACTCAGACTCAGGCAGGTGGGAGACCGGACAGTCTAAGGCCTGCAGGGCCCGGGCCGTGGGAGGGGACAGGACCGACCTTCTCTCCCCACTGTCCTGGGGCACCGGCTCTCCTAGCGGCCCCCAGGACTGCGGCTGGAGAGACGCACAGGGACCCTGGGCTCCACAGGCCTTTGTCCGCTGTCTCTTGTCCCCCGGTGGGGATGACCCCTACTGCCTGTGGCCCCAGAGGTCTCAGTGACAGTGGAGTGGGGAACAATGGGGAGAGGGACCCCAGATGTCGTCAGTGGATCCAGCCCCCACGGCAGATGTTGAGCCTGACGGGGGTAATGGCCTCCTTGCCTGGGGCCCATGCCCTGGAGTGGGCGGCCCCTCCTGCGATGGGTGCAGGGAGGCCCCGCCCAGCCAGCGCCAGGCCAAGAGGCCTGCCCCGAGGTCTCAGTCCCAAGTGCCCTCCAGCCCTGGCCGCTCTCTCACCTTCAGGGAGGCCCTGGAGTAGGCCGGGATGCCACTGTCGTACTTCCCGGACACGATGCCACAGGCCAGCGGGGACCAGGTCATGGCGCCTACGCCTGAGGGAGAGAGGCCCGGCCGGGTCAGGGGGACCTGGGGGCGGGGTGGGGCAGGGCAGGTGGGGTGGGACGGGCAGGGCCAGAGCCTGGGTTTCGGGGTTCGGACAAGGTGCCCACCGATCTTGTGGAACAGCTCAGGCAGCTGCACCTCCACCTTCTCGCGCTGGAACATGTGGTACTCTGCCTGCTCGCAGATGGGCGGGATCAGGTTGAACTGCCGGGCCACCGAGTAGGCCTCCTGCGGGTGCAGAGGGCCCAGGAGGCCCCATGTCAGCGGGCAGCAAGGAGAGAACATGGCTGCCCTGTCACCCCCACCCCCACTGTGAGCTGGGAGGGCCCATGGGACCCCAAAGCTGGAGGCTATGGGAGAAAGCACAGCGCCACAGCTGCCTGGGCTTCTGGCACCTGCTGGGTGTTGGGCCAGGGCTGCAGCCGCCTGCCTCAGTTTCCCCATCTGTCCTGAGGGTCCCACGGGCCAAGGGTGTTTGTGCCCTTACAAAAGTGGCACTCAGAGCCTGCCAGCTGCACTGTGATTTTTTACCGGGATCTCTGCAGCCCTGGGCCTGGGACAACAGCACTGGCAGTGAAGTCCCGTGGGAGGGTCAGTAGCTGCCCCAGCCCACTTGCAGGCCTGGGTGAGAGGGTCCAGCTTTACAGCTCTCCCACCACCCCACCCAGGGCGTGAGCCCAGGCAGATGCCCCCACACAGACCCAGGAAGCCACCTCTGCCACCTGAGAGGTCCTCAGCTCTGTTGAGACCCAGCTCCCTCCTCTGTAAAATGGAGCGATGATACCAGCACCCTGAGCCCAGGACCGATGTGGGAAACGCCAAATGCGGTGCTCACTGATGCCCCGACTTCAAAGCCCATTGATACCAGGGGCTCCTGAAGTTGGGTTTAGTTGGACATGAAACCCTGTGGGGCTCCTTCCATGGAGCAGGAACGTGGGGCTTGCTGGAGCAATGCTGGGTGCTGGGGGATGTGGGGGGCCCAGCATGGGCAGGGTTAAGGCCAGAAGTGGGGTCACAGGCTGGGGGCACCAGCCTCGAACAAGACCTCCACCTTCACTCTGCATGGGTGGTAGTGGCCTCTCCCCTCCGAGCCTCTGAGCAGAGGGCTCCCTGACGCCCCTCCTGGAGCCCCGAAATGCCAAGAACTGCCTGCTGTTCCCCGCCTCTGCCCTGAGCCCCCGAGGGCTGTCGTCAGGGGAGCTGATGATCAGTGGGATGCTTCCCTGAAAACTCCCTGGACCGCGGGGGCACCGCTGAGGTCCTGAGAGCTGGGTCATGTTCTCAGGCAGCCAGGCTGAGCCGCATGGCCAGGGCATCAGTCTCAGCTTGTGCTGTGTAACCTGAACCATGTGACTTCACCTCTGCGTGCTTCAGTTTCCACATGTGAGAAACAGCAGCACTTGTCCACGGGGCGTGGTGAAGACTAGAAGGGAGACCACCCCCAAACAGTGCCCAGAATGTCGCTCCCAAGGGCTGCCTGGCCTGAGCGCTGTGGAGGGCTTCCCAGTGTTCAGAGAAGCCTCCGAGTGGTGGTGAGGGTGGGGCGGCTCCCAGGCATGGTCTGCAGGTGGGTGGACGGCCACCTGTCCAGCGCCACGCAATGCTGGGGCTCCAGCTGAGCCCCTTGTCTGCAAGGTGCACCCTCCCGTCCCCGTGCTATCACCTCTAGATCCCCCCACAGCTCGGGGCAGGGAGCCCCGCCGCTGGGCCCCATGCTGTGTCACCGTACCATGATCTCCATGGAGCTCCAGCGCGACGTGCCCCAGTACATAGCCATCCCCTGGTTGATGACGTGGGTCATGGCCCGCACCGTCTCTGTCATGAGAGAGAAGGGGGTGACATGGGCGGGGGCAGCAGGGCTCAGGCCCAGCCTGGGGACTTTCTGCAGATGCAGGCAGGACGCTGGGAGGAGGGAGGGCTGCAGAGACGTCTTGCAAGCAGTGTACTTCCTGGCTTTGAAGCTGGGGGTGTGTGTGTGGGGGCCCAGGAGGAAAGAGAAAAGGGAACCACGATCCAAGCAGTTGGTCTTGAAAACAATTTCCCCAGCTAGTCATAAGCCGTACGGGACCTCTGAGAAATGGGTTGTGATGTCTCGACGGCAGATTAGAGGCACGAAAGCTGTGACTATGGACTCTAGCACGGGGGGCTGGAGTCTGGAGAGGAACTGGGGGCCGCAGTCACTCAGGAAGGAGCAGAGCGGTGCTCACATGGACGGCACGGGAGGAAGCAGCTTGCCTGTCTCTGGGGAGTGTTCTGCATCCTCCCTGGACTGTGAAGTGCAGAAGGAAGGATGGGTCCACAGGCAGGGCTGGGAGCCTGTGAGATCCCAGGGTGGGGCCCCAGAACTGGGTCCTCTTGGGCTAGGACAGCCAGGCGCAGGCAGACAGCCTGGCTTGGATCACGCCCCAGGCTCCGAGGCCAGTGTCTCCCCAGTGTGAGGGCCCAGTGGGGCGATGGCGGATTCCTGGGAGGAGCGGGCAGGGACATGGGGACCACTGAGGCTCAGCATCCTAAGGAGTGAGTGGCTGAGAGCCAAGAAGAGGCCCCCAAGCTGCCAGTACAACGGGTTCTTCCTAGTGCTCGAAGTTTGTAAGAAAAGTCTGCAGCCCCAGGCCTCCCTGGGCTGTGGGCTCATGGGGTGCTGTGGTTTCAGTTTCCAAATTTCAAGCGAGCCTTGGTGTTGTGGGGCGCGGGCTGCCTCTGGGGTCTCCGCAGGTCCCATACAGTGCTTGCAAGGCCGCTGCCCAGGCAGCATGGGGAAAGTGCAAGGACAAGTGTTTATCACCCTGGAGGGTCCCCGTCTGTCCTCATCTGCCACCAGGCAGGGAAGCCCCGGTCCCCAGCAGTGGTTGGGGACAGACAGGAGGGCAGACAGGCAGGCGGGCAGGAGCAGGCCAGCATGGCGGTGACAGCTCAGACTCGGAACGGCGCCGGGCCCGCGGGTGCCTCCCCTGGCAGGAGGACATTGGTGCTGGCTTCTGCGCCGCCCTGTCTTGTGGTTTTGCTTCCTGCCATCCTAGGTCCCTCAGCCCCTCTTTGGTTGAGGTCTGTTCTGCTGGGACCCTGGGCATCCTAACGGCTGGCACTAAAATGCTGGGGCTTCTGGGGTGGTGGCCCTAGCAGGGTGATCTAAGACCCCAGGAAAACCACACCTCAGCTCCCACCCCTGCAGGCCCAGCCCTGCCCTCTCCTCCCTTCTGAGGTCAGGGACTGGGGTCCCTGGGGGGTCCCAGATGGGGGGATGTGGGAGGGGAGTCTGGACCTCCCAGGACCCTCCTGGGTCACCTGCTTTAATGCCACCCTGCTAGGCATGAAAGGAGGACAAGGCCTGGTCCGAGAGGCTCATGAGGATCTGGAGGGGCCAGGGGACCTCGCCATGGAGCCGGCTCCGGGCTCGGCTGTCCTTGTTAGGCTTTTTAGAAACTCTGGGCAGCTGTGACCACGCAGCGTGACTCCCTGATTCCTGCGAGCCGAGCCTGAGGTCGCATGCCAGCGAGAGGAAGCCCAGGGACCCCAACAACAGCCCGGCTCCCCCGCCCGCCTTCTTATGCTCTCCTGTCACCGAGAGTCCGACCCCGAAGCCGCAGACGCCCTGCCCTGCGCCGCTGCCCGTGCGGTGAAGGGGCGGGGCACCAGCGTCTGGGGGAGGAGCCGGCGGGAGGCCGGCTGTCCTGAGAGGCGGGGGTCGGGCAGAGGCCCCCGGCAGGGAGCGCCCTGCGAGGGCACAGGCTGTGCATCTGTCAAGATGACGCCAGGGGCTCCAGAAACAGGGACATTCAAGGACAGCTGCCCTTCACCTCCATGTTTACTGCTGTTGGGCATAGCAGGGGTACCACTTTCTCTAGCTGGTGCCCAGGCCCAGGGCAACTCTGCTGCATCACAAATAATACATGGCGGGGTCAGGTGGCAGCGCCAGGTGGCAGGCAGGAGCCTTTCGTGGAGCGCCGCCCAGCTCCCAGGAGACCCAGGCCTGGCCTCGAGGTGAACTGGAGGGGAGCGCAGGGGCCAAGGTGCGAACACGGCCTTGCCCACGCAGGGCACAGGATGGCCACGGAGCCCAGTGCTCACGAGGAGCCAGGGTGTGGTGGGTGGGGCAGGGCGGGGCGGCTGAGCACCCGAGTCCCCAGGAGCAAGGGGCAGGGCTCCTGGGCGCGGCTGGTGTGGGGTCCCTGATGGGGTCACCCCTTGTGGGACCTGCTCTTCTCCCGTCCTCCCCACTGCACGAGCCAAGGTCAGGTGTCCAGGTGGGGGCTGCAGCCGTGACAGGGGGCCGGCTGCCCGGGCACCGCGGGTCCCAGCCGTGCAGGCGCGGGGACATGCACAGGGGCGGGGTGAGATGACAGCGTGGCTGGGGCGAGGGCTCCACACGGCTTTGCTTTTCCTTCCCTCGCGAGATGGCCTCATAGGGTTCCCCCCACCCTTACGCATTTTATGGAGAAGTTTGTCATCGGGGACAGAGTCGTGTACACAAAAACACTGTCTCATAAAATGCAGCTCGGACACAGAAGTCAGCAGCCGGCTGAGGGTACTGTGTACCTTCTATGATGAATGTCCTTGACTTGGAGGAACTAAATGGGTCCCCTGGTGATAAAAGAAAGATTTAAAGAGACCAGAGTTTATAGCTGTGGGAACACGGGAGGCGTGGGATGACACAGCGCAGGGGCGGGTCGAACAAATCACTGTGCAGAATGCTTGTTGTGTTAAAAAGAAAAGATCACACATATATATCTATCACACGTGTGTGATAGATTTTATAAAATGGAGAAAAAGCAACTCAAATACAACTTAATTTTCCAAGCCCCTGAAGCAGCAAAGCATAAATGAGAGGATGGCGTAGCAGGAAATTGGGGAGACAGGAGGGCGCAGGAGCTGAGAGAGGAAATAAATGCCAAAGAAACCAAAAGCGCCGTGGGCCCAGATCGAAAGGGACGCAGCAGTTGTGCCCGTCACCTTACTGCCTCTTTGTCACCTACACAATGCCAGCTCTGGAGAGGAGGGACATTCGCAAGGTTCTGACACAGCCAGGTGTGGGCCAGGCACGAACAGGGTACGGGGCCGGGACCCGGCCTGGAGGTGCCAGGGAAGGCCGCCCTCCCCCGCCCGCAGGACAGGGCCTCCTGTGGCCTGGGTGTCCATGCTGGCCACCTCTGGTGCGTGGGGCAGACCCTCTTCCGGGAGCACCTACCTTCCATGGGCGTGTTGGGGTCGGGGCGGTTGGCGAACACCACGTCCACATAGTCCAACTGCAGCCGCTCCAGCGAGGCCTTCAGACCTGGGAGGACCGGGAGGATGTCATGGCTGCCCACGCATCCTCACCAGCACTTCTGGGCCCTCTCCGTGCCTGGCTTGAGGGACGGGGGATGGAAGAGGGGAGACTCTGCCTCCTGAAGCTTCAGATGGGGCGGGCAGAGGTTGTGAAGACCTGCCAGGGAAGCAGGGCACATTCCACAGGGAGTGGGGTCCTGCCGTCCAGGGGCGTGAGGGGGGCCCCAGGCTGCACGTCCTCTGGGCGGCTCCTGGCCTCTAGTGACTCGTGTTGATCAGGCAGGGGAGAGCATAGTATCTGCTGTCCGTCTCGTTTGCACAAGTCACCAACCAGCAAGTGGCCGCTGAGCCCGCAGCCTCTAGGGCACGGAGGCCGCCAGACGCAAGTTCTAACGCAGAGAGTGCATTATGGTACCTTGATGGAAATCAAGGCCGCAGGTGCGAAGGCGGGAAGGGTGCAGCTAACCCATGTCCGCGCCGCCCTCGCTCTGTGCGGTGCTGCGGGCTGAGCCCTGGGCGGTGGTGTGCGGTGGATGGGGCAGGGGCAGGCACTGGGGAGGGCTGAGCAATCACGGTGGCAGGAGCCCCAGTGCCACCCCATTCCACGAGCGTCCTCTGGGCCCACCTGGGGTGGGGGCAGAGGGTCAGAGCCGAGCTCCAGGTATCCCAGGCTGGGCCCTCTGTGGGTATCTGGGTGTGGCTGGGACCCTGGGCTTCTGTGGTCTCCCTCTCCGGGAGGCCGCCGTGGGACCCCGAGACCACCGCCTTCCTCACCTTCTATGATGTGCTTCCTGGAGAGGCCCCGCTCCGTCTCGGCCCTGAAAAACAGGCCGACAGCATGTGTGATGTTTCTGGCCATTTGGGGAAATGTTTAGGATGCAATGTTAGGCCCAAACGGTTGGTCAGCAAATGCGACGCGTGGCCTGGTTCCAGAGGCCTGCGCTGTCCGCCAGCAGCCTGGGGACAAGGTCAGGGGGCCGTAGGGGCCGGGGCTTTGGTTTTCAATGTTACTCTTCTGTTTGGCTTGGATTTTCTTAAATTTAAGGATGAACCCTAGCCTAGCTCTAACTCCTATGAGGAGGGGGTCACCCGCCCCTGGTAGAGTCAGACACCAGAGGTGGGGAGGCCTAGAGCAGCTGAGGTGCTTTGGATAACTCACAGATTTTCTGTTTTCTAGAATTTTTATGATGTTACCTTCGTAAGAAGAAAAAAAAACCCCATGTAAGTGAAAATAACAACTAAACAAGGTTTGAACATGGGACAAGCTTGGCCGAAGCTGCTTTGCTTACTGGAGAACTCCCCTCCACCCCGCGCTGCCTCCAGGGTCTCCCCAGGCCCCGGTGTCACACGCGGCACCTACTTTCCGCCCCAGAAGATCTTGGTGGTGATTACAAGGCTGGACCGTCTGTGGGAGAGAAGAGAGGCAGAGAGTTACTGGGCCCGGCCCCAGCTCCCCTCACCCCTGCCACGCTGGCCACACAGCCTGGCATGACACGGGCATCTCATCGTCAGATGCCTGCTCTTTGCCAAGCCTGGTGTCCCGGCCCCCACTGAGCAGCTGGTATGGGGTATCCCCCAAGCCAGAACCGTGGTCGGGTGGCAGGGGCCAGATGGCAGGGGTGAGCATGAGCAGAGCTTGGTGGGCGATGGCGGCCCCGCTGCCTCCTCTGCTGGGAACATGGGGCTGTGGGGATTTGGTCAGGGTGGAGAGAGAGTGGTGGTAGAGACCCCCTCCCCAGGGGGGAGGTGACCCTTGGGGGGTGACAGTGACCCCCCAGGCTCTTCTCAGTGGCTGCTGAGGCTGGAAGCTCTTCAGAGCCATTCGGAGGATGCCTAACGTGTACCTCCCATGTGCCCACTGAAGACCAGCCATGGCACCTGCTAATCCGTGCAGCTGCCTTGAGTTCCCGAGGGGGTATTTATCTGGGATCAGTTAGAGCAGGGGGTGAGAGGAGGGTGTCGGGACCCCTGCGGGCTGGGCTGCATGACCCACACGGAGTGGTGGAGTGGCTGGCAGGAGGGCGAGGGGACCCAATTGTAACTGCTTCTGACGTGGGCCAGCCTGACGGGAGGGCGGGGCGCTGCCTGAGAAGGACCTCAGCACCTGCCCCGAGGTTCCCAGGCTCCATCAGCCCGAAGGACACAGCGTGGCTGGGGCGGGCCGGGAAAGCGGGGCCTCCGGGGGGCCAGGACGGTGACTGAGACTCAAGCGGAGGGCTGCGCTAGGGCGTGGCAACACAGTGGCTTGCGCATAACCACCCCAGCACAGCTGCTTCTGCCTCTCGAACTGTACCCCCTGGCGACCGGGCGAAGGCGGGGCCCTGGCCTGGGCGCCTCGCAGGGCGGCCCCCATGGTGTGAACTCGCTCCCCTGGAGGAGCAGGGGCTGCTTTCAGGACCTCCTGGCCCTGGTGAGACTGCTCCAGGGGCTGACGCGGCCGCCCCCAGGGTGCTCTGTTGTTAAACAGGCAGGAACAACCCTGAATGCTCATTCTCCCCATGTCCTGTAACCCAAGCTGAGGCTCACCCTGGCAGCCCGGCCTTCCCATCTGGAACCCCAGAGCATGTCTGACTCCCCAGTGCCGCCTCCCGCTCCAGCCTTCTCCGTGAGTGGGCATGTGTGTGTGTGTGTGTGTGTGTGTGTGTGTATGTGTGCGTGTGCACGCGCGCACCAGCCCTGGGGACGGACGGCAGAGAGAAGCAGTAATTACCTCCATCCCTTCTTCTTAATGATGTTTCCTAAGACCACTTCAGCCCTGCAAAAGCAAGAGAGACATGGGGATTTCATCACGGTTTAACGGGCAAATCAAAGCCAGCACCACCGTGCCAGCCCACCCCTGGCTCCTCTCTGGAGCCCTGGGGTGCTGCAGAGCCAGGCTGGCATTCCAGAGGGAAGTGAGGCCTGGGGCTGCCCGAGTGGCCCAAAGAGCACTGCGATTTCCCACAGCGGCAGCTATGGGCCTATGCTCCGGCTCCGGCGGGGAAGGAAGGAACTGCCCCGCTCAGCAAGGCCAGTGTCCCCTTTCCCAGGCTGCTGGAAATGCGTGGAGGAAAATGCCTGGCCACGTCACATGGGTGAAATTTGTAGCAAGTGTATTTCTCAGAGGTAAATTATACATCAGGTGCATCCTGCTTCCTGAGCAGTGGCTGGGTTTCCAGGAGAGGCTGTGCACGCGTGTGCACACATGTGTGTGTATGCACACGCGTGTGTGTTGGCATGCATCCTTCTGGCTTCTTGCTCTTGAACAACAGAGAGATGCCATGCCAGCCTCTGTCGGTTCTGCTTAGCATTGCTCCGTGTGCTGCGCCAAATTCGGGCCAGCTGGGGTCATGAGCGGGCTGCTCCAGCCTCCCCTGGTACAGCAGTGCTGGATTAACTTTGAAGAACTTTCTGCTTGTAGCAAAATGTTTCTGAGCAAAAACAACAGACGGAGAATGATCCATACCCTGTGCTACATTCCAATTATAAAAGCGCCTGAGTCATCCGCTCAGAAATAATGGGCTCTAATTTGCAAGCTGTTTAGCATACATTCTGAATGCTCCTCATGTATGGTCAGGACGCACAGAAAATTCGCTCAGCCCTGGGCCTCTCTTCCTACTATTCCTCGGTTCCTGATTTGTCGGACAAAGGATCAGCAGAGGAGGAAGATGGCCGAGGGGCCACGGGAGCCGCAGCATGTGGGGTAACCAAACCCTGCTGCTTGCAGCTGTCTGGGGGTGCAGGGCAACCCTGCGCCTCTCTGGAGGCACCCAGAGGAGTGTCAGAGTGGGAAGCAAGAAGTGTGCGTGGCCACCCTGGTCAGCAGGAGGGGTAGCTCTGCCCGCCACTTGCCGGGGTTGTCCCCGGCCCAGAGCAGCACCTCCCAGCCCGTGCCCAGGATGCGGTGCTTGGCTTCCCAGGGAGGGCATGAGCAGCTGGTTCAAATCTGGGCGGGATGGAGGAGGAGCCTGGGCGGTAGAGGAGTAGAAGGCCGGGGACTCCAGGAGCTGTGGATTGGAAGCTGCTTTCTGAGACCTCAGCTTCTAGCGCGGGGCTCCGGGAGGCCTAGAGGCTACCTGGCAGCCAGCACGCTTGCCCTGGCACGCTAGCCCCAGAAGTGCAGCTAAACAGGGTGGAGGCAGAGACGGAGCGGAGTGCAGAAATGGAGCCTGCTGGGCCCAGGCACTGGGGCTGGCCATGTGGAGCTGGAGGAAGCTGGATGGGGCTGCCCTCCATGTGCCCTCAGGGGCAGCACGAGCCAGGCAGGAGTGGGGCCAGGGAGGAGGCTTGGCGGGGTGCCTCTGGGCCGGGCATCTGCCCTGGCTTCTCTGCGGCTGACCCTTCGGCCTAGCCCATCTGTCGGCCTGGAGAGCGCTGCACTTGGGTGGGAAGCTGCGGGCAGTCTGGAGCGGCTGGGAGGAGACTGCGGCTTAGAGACAGAAGGGCTGCTGCTGAGGGCCGGGGGGAGTTTGGGGGTCCTGGCTGTCAGCTGCCCAGGCCATGGGTCGGCATGAGGCCCTGTTGCAGGCAGCAGGTAACGAGTGACCCCGTGAGGCAGGTGGTGGCCCAAGGGCCACGGAGCACAGGGGGCAGAGAAGAGACAGCCAGCAGGTGAGCTCAAAAACAAAGCTGACTTTTGGAGACACGACCAGGAGAGTGGATGATTTGATGACAGCCAGTCTTTAAAATCAGAGCCAACACTGAAGAGGGCTGAGCGTTTACATAACTGAGTGGGAAAGTTCACCGCCAAGACGGGGAGCGCTTCCTACAGCGGCGGGCCCAGCGCCTCCTCCCTCCCGCTCCAGTCCTGCTCCCCTAATTGCACATCATTAAGACGTGAGAATATCAGGCGTGGGGTGGACTGCAGGTCACCGGCGTAGAGAGGGCCCAGGACAACGGCTTCCCCGGGGCTCTGGCCAGACACAGCGTCTTTGCCACGAGAAGGACTGTGGTCACCCTGGTGCTTGGGCACATGGGGAGTTTAGCAAGCGACCAGTGTCCAGATGTTCTGTGACTCCGGCCCCCTGAAAGTTCCTCCCGGGGCCGTTTCAAGTTTGGAAAAGAAGCCAGAGTGGAAGGCACGCTGGAGAGGGCGCGCGGCGGGCACCGGAGCCCTGACCCCTCCCAGTGCCGCCTTTCCTGCGGTAAAGACACGCACTTGCCGGCCGCGTAGACCTCCGCGGTATCGAAGAGGTTGATGCCGTTGTCGTAGGCCAAGGTCATTAGCTGCTCTGCCATCTGAAATGAGAGAACCAGACTCGCTCGGCCTAGGGCGACTCCAGGCAACAAGTCCTTCAAGGGCCAGGTGTGGAGGTGCAGACCTGTCGTCCCAGCACTCTGCGAGGCTGAGGCAGGAAGATAAGAAATTCAGTGCCAGCCTGGGCATTGAAATTCAACGCCAGCCTGGGGGGTGCAGCGCAGTGCGAACTCTCTGGGTACAATCCCAGTACCGCAAGAAACAAAAACAAAAGCAAAAGGCATCAACCATCCAAGAGGAACAAAGAAGGGCAAATGGATGAAGAAAGGGCCTGTGGACTGAATTTTTCCAGAGCAGGGACCGCATGTGCTGGGTTGGACAGTGTCCCTCCAATACGTACCTATGCCCAGAGCAGCGCAATGTGAACTTCTGCGGAAACAGGGTCCTTGTAAAAGCGACTAGTTAGGGTGAGGTGATGCTGCTCCAGGGTGGGCCCCACATCCAGTGTGGCTGAGACTTCCAGGAAGAGAAGTCGGACACGGAAAGGCCAAGTGATGATGGCTCTGAGATCCGAGGGGCGTGGCTACAGGCCAAGGCCAGGACAGCCAGCAGCCACTGGAAGCCGGGCACGGCCAGGGGCAGCATGCCCTCAGCTGCTGCAAGGACCAGGGCTCTGCGCACACCCAGATCTCGGCCTCTGGCCTCCAGAACTATGGGAGAACATGTCCCAAGCCACCCAAGAGGAGGCACTTTGCTACGGTAGGCCCAGGACATTAATGCAGCTGCCCTGCGTAGATTTTGCAGGATGAATGACATTTCTTCCAGCCCCGTCCACCCTCTCCAGCAAGCGTGTGAGAACCTCACTGTCCTCTTCTGCAGAGGAGGAACGGGAATCCCTGGCTACCTGGTGGCCATGTGGTCATGGCTGGTGCCACACACTCTGGGGCCTCAGCGAGGCAGGATGGACACGTGGCCTCCATGGTCCACATGCTTCGAAGCAGCTCCTACTCCTTCGGCTGCTAGATGCCCGAGCTTGTGCCAAGCAAAGGGGCAGCAGCACTGGGAACAGGGACCTGGGGACCTGCCTGCAACTGACACCCCCAAGATGCAGTAACGGAAGGCGCCCCAAACTCTGCTGCCCCTCCAGTGGGTGCTCCTGTCCCTCTCACTGTCCTGCTTCCCCAGAGGGGACTCTGAGGGCCGGACCCCCTCCACCAGGAGCCCAGGGCGGGGTGAACTGTTCCTGATTGCCCCCAACTGCTGTGGGACAGAACTTCTGCCTACACAGAGCCTGCAGCCCTGGCACCAGGCCGGTGGCAGTGAGGAGGGGTGGGTGGGCACCAGTGCAGATGCCTGGGGGTGACGCTCAAGGGCACTGCTACAGAGTAAAGCTGTGCCTGACACTGCTGCCCCGGGAAGGTGAGCCTGGTGATACCCGATCCCCTGATTTTTCAGGGGATCCAGGATGTTTTGGGGGAGGGGTAAAACCTCCTGGTTCTCAAATGTGGACCCGGAGCCCAGATCATTTCGTGGGCTGTGCAGATGGAGCCTGCGTGGGCAGTGGCGGGGGCTGGGGGTGGAAGCCCAGGGTGCCCAGGGCTGCTTTGCTGTCTCCTCCTATGCTGCAGCTCAGGTGACCCAGGGCCGCTGCTCCCCCCAGGGCTGCGGCTGCTCCCTGCACCTTCTCCATTAGACAGGAGAGAGGTTTTCCCCGCCTCTCCACGCCTTGGCCCTGGCCTCCAGACAGGCTGGGCTCACCTGACGTCTGCGGACGCGTCCTGCATCTGGACTGAGCCAGGCGGGAGGGCGCCCTATGCTGTCCTGTGACTAGGGAACAACGCGGTCTTGTAAATTGACCGCGAATCTGACTGCCCCCCAACACTGCGCCTGCTCTGGCCAGGACACCAGCGCCCCTCCGCTGCTTCTGCAGTGGCTTCCCAGACTCTGCTTCTTCCTTGTCCCTTGCAGCCTCGCTAGGACCAGCAGCATCTGCCTGCATCAGAAACGCAGAGTCCACGCTGGCGTGACGGTGCACGCCTGTCATCCCTGCTACTTTGGAAGCTGAGGCAGGAGGATCTCAAATTCTAGGTCTGCCTGGGCAACTTAGAAAGGAGTGGTGGAGCACCTCTGGTTTCAGTACTACCAAAAAAACAAAAACCAAAGACAAACAAACAAAAAACCCTGCAGAGTCTGGCTGGGACTGGTGGCAAACTCCTGCAATCCTAGCTACTTGGGAGGGCCCGAGGCCTCTTGCCCCGTGGGCTGCAGACCCTGGGAAGGGAGGGGAGCAGAGCTGGCAGCGGCTGGCGGTGCTTGCCTCAGGGCTCCGTGTGGAGCTGTGGCAAATTCTGGAAACAGCGGTGAATGTGCTACCACCACCCAGCTGCACCCCCGTGACTGGTTCACACAGCAGCTTCCGCGTTTCCTGCATTTCATGAAAATTCACTGAATCCATCCTGCAGGCCAGGGTGGCCCTTGCTACCTGCTGTCTGACCCAGCAGCCCCTGCCTGAAGAATGAAGACTGCAGCCTCCTTCTGCCAGTTGGCAGGCTGCCAGGGCCCTCGCCCCCGACGCCGGGTTCTGCCTCTGACGCTGACTGTAGGGCTTGACACAATTTCAGGCCCTGGCTCTGTCATCTGCCAGGTCCTCTGTCTTCCCAGCCCGGCCCCCTAGACATGGCCTCCAGTGTCCTCATCCATGTCCCGTGTCCCTGAGGGAGACGCGGCTGGCCGGAGCTGGCATCCACCAGTGCTCTGGTGCCACCCGGCTGCCGGTGCGAAGTCACTGAGTGTGGCTAGCGCTGTCTGCAGAACTCCCCCTTCCACGGCTTAGGGACCACTTCCGGAGGCCGAGCCCGGCCGACTTCCTCCAAGTGAGCCGCCAGGTACCATGGCTTTGATCTCTCCGGCTCGGCACCAATCCGGAGGGCCCAGGAGAGCCCTTAGCCTTAGAAGCTCCTGTCTTCACCCTGAGATGCCCCACAGCCAGCAACTTGGCAAACAGTCCCACGACTAGGCACTGCCACAAACTTAAAGGTGAACAGAAGCGCAGCCTGTGTGCATCTAGATTTTGCTGGGAGCAAAGCTTTCCCTTCGCATATGGAGCAAGCACAGCTAACGAGGTCTCAAATCAAGGCACTTGGTAATTTTTAAATGCAACCCTTCCGACAGGAAGTGGGGCAGAGGTGACACCCACGTAGGGAGCAGATGCCCGGAGCTGAGGAGCGCATGTTCTTGGTCCCGAACAGAAGTGCACCCCGTCTGGGAGTGCATGCCTCTCCTTCTGGGGAGCTGAGACGCTCGCACACTGGGGACAGCACTTTCTTGGTGTCACCCCCGCCCCCCCATTGTGAGATACGCCCCAGCAGACACATTTGATTTCAACGCATGCGATTAATGGCAGTCACGGAAGCGGACAATGAGGAGCGCGGTGAACGCCGACCTCCCGAGAGTCTGCAGCCTGCGGGCAGTGGGGAAGCTGCATGAAAAATGACCGCCACAGACTCATGTGCACATCTGCGTCCGGCTTTGTGACTGGGGAGCCGTGCACCCCGCAGCTCTCTGCTAACCAGGGGGTGGGCGGCAGGCACCCTGAGCTCCTGGGGCTCAGGGATTGTGGAGGGCCCCGGCACCCAGCCACTAGGGGTGGTGCCCGTGTGGGCTCTCCCTCGGGCCCGGCTCCTCCTCACCCTCCTGCTGTCCTTCGGCGCTGGCACCCTCAGCAGCACAGAGGGAGGCTGCCATGGTGGCGCCCGCAGGTACCCGCTCACTGCTTCTCCCAGGGGCCCTGGCCATGGCCTGCTGGGCACTCGGGTGGAGGGAGCCCTGTCTTACCTCGTCGGTGATCTGGCCTCCGAAGGTCACCCATGTTCCTGGAAGGAGACACAAAAGCTCAAGTTAGACCACTGCCAGGGGCCGACTCTGCCCTGTGGTGCTCAGGCCTCAGGCTCCAGGGGCCCCTGGGGTGAGTGTGTTCTCTGTATGCGGGGACTCTGGACTTGCAGAGCAAGTCTCCAAATGGAGGCACCAGCCTTGAAAGGCCTGTGGTGTACGCCTGTAATCCCAGCACTCTGGGAGGCTGAGGCAGGAGGATGGCAAGTTCGAGCCTCACCCAAGCAACTTAGCAATTTATCAAGACTCTGTCTGAAAATAAAAAAAATAAAAAAAAAGGTCTGGGGACGTAGTTCACAGTGAAGGTTCTGGGTTCCATTCCCAGTACTGAAAAGAAAAACAAAGAAGAAATGCACTTTGCTGAAGCAGCTCCTGTCCCATCCAGGGTCACGATGTCCCACCCTGCTGCGGGAGGGGACACGGCGGCCTCCCCAACAGTAGGCACGGCCGTTGCTCCTGTGGTGGGGGAGGGACGGGGCGCCAGGCAGGACAGCGAGTCACCATGCGCACGGTGGGGAGGAGGACAGAGCTCGCTCGCCTCTGGCCTGGGGAAGGAGGGCTACACTGGATGGGAAGGAATCTCCCAAGCGTGCCTGGGCCAGGAGCTGCCCAGCTGCCGAGCGCGGGGTGGGCTGTGTGTGCCAAGGGCCCGGGGGCTGCTCCCTCTTTCCCCGTGCCTGCCTCCTGGTTGCCATAGCAACGGAGTCCCTCTGGTCCTGGGCTCTGGGTGTCACTCCCACCAGTGGGGGTGGGGACAGCCCTGCCGGGGCCCCCCTTCCTCGGCACGAGGGTCCCCACACTCACCGAGCCCCAGGCAGGAGACCCGCAGGCCGGACTTGCCAAGGTTCCTGGAAAACAAACACAGCCTGAGCCCCAGCGCCCGGGCCCGGGCACAGCGCCACCAGCCGGCCCTGCGCTACGGTCGGTCGGTGCCAGCCCTGCCCGCACCCGCCACGGTCGCTGCGTGTTCTGAGGCCACGAGGCAGCCGTAGAGAGGCCTCTCCTCTGAAAGTCCTCTAGGGTCACGCTTGTGACACGGTGGCCACCATTCTCTCTCAGGACAGGGCAAGGGGCCACAGGCCAGGCCGGGTCACTGTCTCACCCTGGGGCTGGCGGCCGAGGAAGGGTGTCGCTATCCTACGGCTGCTCCAGCTCGCACCCCAAGCCAGGCCCAGCAGCGCACACCCTAGCCAGGCACCGCCCGGCTGTGTCCTGGTGGTGGCCATCTGCTGGGGACTGGGGACTGGCAGTCTGTCTAGTGCCAGGACAGATGGCACAGGCGGGAGCCTACGGCGGCCCTCAGGCACCAGCTCAGCCTTCTCCCTGTACAGAGTCCAACAACAGCCGGGTGTGGTGGCGCATGCCTCTCATCCCAGCACTCGGGAAGCTGAGGCAGGAGGATGGTTGTGAATTTGAGGCCAGCCCAGGCTACGTAAGTTCAAGGCCAGCGTGCACTATATAGCAAGACCCTGTCTCAGAAAAAGAGAAACCAGCAAAGGACAAATCACTTCTGTGACTGCGTTGAAAGGGAAATGAAGTGGGTTATGAAGGTGCATGCCCGTAATTTCAGCGCTCTGGAAGGCTGAGGCAGGAAGGTTACAAGTTTGGGTCCAACATGGGTAACTTTAGTGACTTACTGAGACTGTGTCTCTAAACAACAAATAAGAAAGGGCTGGGGATGTAGTTCAGAGTGAAGGTTCTGGGTTCAATCCCCAGTAAACTGCAAAACAGAGAAAGAGAGAAAGAAAGGAAAACTTTTTACTGCTTACACACCACCGACCTCCCCTAACAGTCCCTCGGCACTGAGTGTCGCAGAGCAACAGGTGGAGAGGAAGGCGCCACCGTGCCTCCTGCAGAGCCAGGCCTACTGGGCAGCTTGTGCCACCTCCTCTGTGCTGGCCAGGAAGCAGCGCTGGCTGCGTTGCAAGGCACGCTTTGGGGCCGGCAGCCTGAGACGTTCCCTTTTATCAGCCGTGTGTCCCAAAATGCCAGGATACACTGTGAGCTGGGGAGGACGGCGCAGCGTCCGCGATGGACGGTGAGGACATGACAGAGGCCGAGCCCACCTGCTCAGGGGCTGAAGAGCGGGCACCCGCTGCCCTGCAAGGTGGGGACCTGCGGCCAGCGCTGCTGCTGTCCCTACCTCTGAGCGCTCCCGGGTTGGCATGAAATGAACCCGCTTCCCTGAGAGGGCTCTGAGCCCCTGTGCCTGGCTGGGGGCCCCAGGGCTGGGTTCTTTGATGGCCTCTCTCCCACCGCCCACAGGGATAATCTAACAGAACTAGGGCACAGCACGATGCCAGCTACTCATCTCCGCTGGCTGCCCCATGGAAGTGATGGTATTAGTTCTGCCATCCGCTGCCAGGCCCGGGAGAAGGGATGGGAAGGGACAGGGCACCTCCAGGCCGGGCGCTTTATCCATGTGGCAGCTTGGCGGGACTGAGCAGACTGCAGCGACTGGCTGTGCTGGACAGGGGATGCTGCCACGCGACCACTCAAAACTCTCCAGGTGCGAGAACTGTTTCCTACACGTTTCTTTCCGCTAATTAAAGCGGGACGGCGATAAGATAGGCGGTCAAAATCGCGACACTTGAATGCTGCTGGTGTTCATCGGTGCACCTGTGTCTCTCCCAGGATGGGGGAAGCGGCCAGCGCGGGCTCAGAGCCAGGAGCTGAGCCAGGGGAAAGCGCTAATGCCCAACCTCCAGCCATGGGACGCCTGCTCCCCTGAACCCTGCGGGAAGGTCAGAGCTGGGAGGCGCCAGGAAATGATAGATCCTTTTAAACAGAGCTCATGGCTTGTAGCCATCTGAACAGAGGACACAAATGTGATGGGAAGGAAAGGCACCACCCCCCCATGAGCTGGCCGGGGAGCGAGGGGGACAGGTGTTTTCCCGCAAGGGCACTGTCACGTGCACACGCTGGGAGATGGTAACTGTTAACTGTTTCTAGGTTTGCTCTGCTGCAGACGCCAGGTCAGGCCTGGGCCTCAGTCCAGCAGCAGTGGGGAATCTGGGATGATGCTGGTATAACTCGGGGCAGGGGGCCCAGGCCGCAGGTCAGCCCTGGGGATAAGATGCTGGCTCTTCTGTTGTTCCTGGGGCTTGGCTTCCCTTCCACCCCCCGTGCCTGCTCTGGGTACTCTTGGGCCCTTTGACAAGAGCATGGACCAAGGCCAGGTGTAGTGGCACACATCTGTAATACCAGCACCCAGGAGGCTGAGGCAGGAGAATCGAGAGTTCAGGGCCAGCCTGGACGACAAGGTGAGTTCAAGGCCAGCCTGAACTCCACGGTGGAACCTTGTCTCAGAAGGAAAAAAAAAACGGTGTGGACCAAGTGTCTGCTGCCTCTAGCTCCCTGCGGCTTCCTGGGGAGGGGGTGGGTGTTGGGGTCAGGGCCGCCCTTGGTTGCTGCAGCCCCATGTGCCCTGGCTGTGGCCCTGGGGTGGGGTGGGGGGCACCTTGGGGTGGGAAGAGAGAGGGCCTGGCCAGGGCTGGAGGAGCTAGGTTTGGGCTCCCACTCCCGTTTCAGCTGCTCAGACCACGCATCCTCCTCCAGGGCTCAAAGCCACCTTGCTCACCAATGTCCCCAAGACGAGCTCACCAGGCCCTGCTGTGTGGGAGCCCCCTGGAGAAGACTGGGTCCGGCAGCCAGGCAGTGCGGGCTGGGTTTGAACCCAGGTCCCCAGAGTGCAGACCCTTCACTGCCCTCCCTGCCTCCCGCGTGTACGTGTGTGTGTGTGGTCACCCATGCACGGGAACACACACGTGCTCGCACATACACAGGCACAAATGTGCACATATGTACACACGGTCCCCTTGCACACCCTGGCTCTTGGAGACCGCTCTTTAAGGAGCCTTAGAGGGGACCACATTAAAGCCAGACTTCCTGTTTACGCAGGGCCTTATAGTGCAGCCTCAGGCTAATCCCTCTGATGGTCCTCAGCTTGACGCAAAAGACACAGCAAGTACTGAATATCCGAACTAAAAAGTATACATTCATTCAATTTTTGACCCTGCCCCTTGACAAAAGATACAAACCCCAGAGCTTCTAAAATAGAGAATTCTACCCTGGGCTGTCCCCGCTGAGCCTAGGGCACGGGAACTTATGTCTTTCAGCCGAGGGACTCCCTTGGGAGCAGCAAACTTCCCAGGGCCAGGGAAGGCAGTGACGTGCAGATGCAGGACCCCAGCTCACCCAGTGGTCATGCAAGGGGTGTCAGGCTCAGGGACACGGTCCCTTCCCATTTGGTCATCTTTCCGTGTTGGTTCTGGGGAGGCGTGAGCTGCCCACCTCTGCTCTCAGGGAACCCTCGTGCTTCTGGAGTTGGCACCAGTATCAGTTGCAAACCCAGGCCTTTCTCTTCTGATATGACCAGACCATCTGTGCCACAACTGTTTTGGGATCCAGGAGTCCGGGACCCTACTTCCTTTCCAGTCTGTGTAGCCTCAAATGGCACAGACCTTTTTGTTCCTCCTGGAGCACCTCTTTGGGGCATGAAGGCCCTGGGGCTCAGGATCTTCCGTGGGGTGAGGAGGGCTAGAGCCCAGCGGCTGCCCTCGCCCTATCCCGGCCCCTTCCTGCCAAGCTGGGACCCTCCTGTTCCGGGAGCACACATGAACAAGGCCAGGTGGGCAACGGGACACAAGCAGGGGAGGCAGGCCCGCCCCAGACGCTTGGCGCTCCTTCACACCACTCACAGGACCGGAGAAGAGACAGAAACAAGCCAGCCTGGGCACCACCATGGAAAACTCAGGGCATTCCCTGGTTGCCCTGTGCCAGTCAGAACCCTTGCTGGAGGAACTCAGGTCTGCCGGGAGGGACATTTCCTTCTGTTGCATGGTTCAGCCGCCTGCCCCTGACCATGGCACTCATGATTGTCACTGCGGCCTCTGCAGAGACCGAGACCACCTGAGGGGCACTTCTGGGGCCTGTGGCCAGCGCCTGGGGTCCTTGGAACGATCAGGCAGCACAGAATTTAACATGGGGGAGGCTTGGCTCCTGGAAACAAGGGCTCCCCAAAGGAAACAAAGGCAGGGGGAAGGAAGGGGGGCGGTTCGCATGGCTTCCCTCCACAGCTGTGAAGACCTGGGGTTCTCGGGAGCCTGCACTGGGCTTCCCAGACCCACGGAGGGCTCAGCCAGAACCAGCGGCCCGGACGGTTCCGCCCGCTTCCCAGCACCCTACCCCGCGCAGCCGCTGCCCCCGTACCTATATTTCATCCCGGCCTGCTGCACGCTGGCATCGCTGCTGCTTGGGACGCTCTGCCCCGAGAGCTGCCCCAGGCTCCGGGCCACCATGGCCACTGTGCGGAAGCGGCCACGGGTACCCGGGCTGGGGCTGCTGGCCGCCGGCCGGCCCAGCCGCTCCTCAGGGCCCCGGGCCTTGAGGCTGTGCTCCGAGCACACGAAGGACACCTGCATGTCTTGGCTGCCCTGGAGGCCCCTTCTCCCAGAAGGCAAAGACGTGGCCAGGTGCCCTTTCAGGAGCAAGGATTTCTGAAGACGACGATGGAGAAAACGCCCATGCAGTTGCCCTCCCAGTGCAGGGCATCAAATTTCCAGACGCAGCTAGAAAAGACCTCATCCAGGAGGAGTCCAGGATCGGGGGCGGGGGTCACTTCCCATTGTCGGTCTCCTCTGCCAGGCCTTCTCTGTCCCCACTCAGCCCTGGCTCTGGCGGCTTAAGTTCCCAGCAGCCTCCGACAGCGCTGGACAGGGCAGGGCTGTGAGCGCCTCCAAGCTGATGAGCAACTGCGGTCCTCGGCAGGAGGAGGAGGCTCCTCTGTGCGCGTCCTCCCCGAGCCCGAGCTGAGGCCGGGAGGTGGCGCGGGGCCTGTGTCTAGCTG